ATGTTACATGCTGGCGACTCTTGAGGACGGATCTTTGTCAACATGCTATGCTGTTGATTTTGTACGAATCTTAGTGTGCTCCGTCAAAGCGTGAGCTTCCGCCTGTTGGCAGGTGGCTGGTTTCGACTCGGTCGATGACGAGAGCAAGCCGGAGATGACTGTGTTTGACCGGGACGCCCCGCTGCCGGAGGACTGGACCCAGGCCGAGAACCCGCCCTACGCCTACTACATCTACTACACGTTCGCCAACCTCACCGCCCTCAACGCACTTCGCGAGTGAGCGAGAGCTGAGTGATCCTCACAACACACCCGGGAATCCATGTGAATCAATGTTGCAGATGGCATCGCTGATAGTTGAGCGATAGCAAGGCGTCTTGGATGATAGATTCAGGGTTAGATGATGACGAACATTCGCTGTCTTTGCGTGGAGTAGCATGATTTAGCTCTTCTAGGCACTGGTGCATCCGCCCTTTTACTCCCGAAATTCAAGAGATTGTTCCATATAGCACGAATGTTGCCAATACCTTGTCGATTCTTCCCACAGGGAGCGCGGCATGAACACGTTCGTGTTCCGGCCACACTGCGGCGAGGCCGGCGCCGTCAACCACATGGTCTGCGCCTTCATGATGGCCGAGTCCATCAACCACGGCCTGGCGCTTCGCAAGGTGAGCAGCGTCATATAGGCGTCGTTGGGCTCTGAGCTGCCCGTGTCTCAAGTCTCAACCTCAAACCAGACAAGTGTTTCTGAAAGTGAGCAATACCTCCACAGTGTTGGTTTCGGATTACATTGATCTTTTTTTTCTTTTGCTGGTATACAACCATTTTCGGTCACATGCTGATCAGTCCGGGCCCTGTCAATGTCTACTACTGAACTGCCCATGATCGGTCACGTACTGAGCTGTCCGTATACACTCAGGTACCGGTGCTCCAGTACCTGTACTACCTGGCAGAGATCGGTCTGGCCATGTCGCCGCTCAGCAACAACTCTCTGTTCCTCAACTACCACCGTAACCCGCTGCCCGAGTACCTGGCGCGAGGTCTGAACGTCAGCCTATCCACCGACGACCCGCTGCAGTTTCACTTCACCAAGGAGCCGCTCATGGAGGAGTTCAGCATCGCCGCACAGGTCAGAGCACTGACACCCACATTCGAGCGATTCACCACGTAGAGTGTAGAATGTAGATGATATTCTTACGCAGGGTGATAGTGCATCTCATGCATTGAAATGAATCAAACGCGGCTAACGTTGACGTTTGCGAGCTCGTAGAGATGTGGAATGCTCACGATAACGACGCCGGCTTTTGAATCACTCGACCGCACTGCCAGATCTTCTGGCTCGTCTGACATCACCCTCTGGCCGGCAGGTGTGGAAGCTGAGCTCGACCGACATGTCCGAGCTGTGCCGAAACTCAGTACTCCAGTCGGGCTTCCCGCACGAGACCAAGAAGCACTGGCTGGGGCCCAACTACACGCGCGAGGGCGTGGCCGGTAACGACGTGACGCGCACCAACCTGCCCGACATCCGGGTGTCGTACCGGTACGAGACGCTGCTCGAGGAGCTGGCCACCGTGTTCCAGGAGGTGACGCCCGACCCGGTGGAGGAGCAGACGCAGCCACGGCCCGCCGCCGAGCCGGCCGTGCAGCGCTGAGGAGACCCGTCGCCGGTGGAGCCGATAGGCAGCCGCAGTCAGCAGCCGCTGGAAGGCGGGAATATCGTGTCTCTACGGTCGCAGCAGACCGGAGCTCTGAGAGTCGCCGAAATCCGCTAACCAGCCGAGACCGCAGCGTGAAGGCTACTGAAGGAGAGCCAAGTCGCATGGCACGCTAGAATATGCCTTGCTGGTGCTACGAGACGGCACTTAGTGCTTACGTTATATGACCGTCCCACTACGACTGTGCTGTAGTCTATAGCCCGCCCTTCCTGCGGAAGACAGCTAGTCAACCATGCAACTGCAAGTAACGGACACTCGACGCCATGCTGTAATTGTTTGGATTGTAGCTATGTAGTGCCTTTCCACGGACCGAACCTGCAAGTGATGACAATATTCAGTCACGTTTTGTACCGCGATGCCGGAATGCAATGGAGTTACCCATATATGCTAAAAAGCGGTAATCGCACTGAAAGAGGCAAAAACGCGAAACAAACATCGAACATGCATACGCAAAACTATAAATCAGGATACTACGCGCATGCAGATGTACGAATAAAAATATCTGTACCGACTCAGATGGTATGTAATAACTGCCGAATAAGTGCCTCACGGACTATATGTCTGACGTTCGTCCGTGTCCAGAGTTACACTCAGCCCATCAACAGGGTACGAAAATATCCTCATCGGATAGGCGACCCAGCCGCTCAAACCGCCATCCCAGAGGGTAGTCCCTTTCGGGCTTGTCCTCCGTCAGTGCCTGCCTGCATGGTGAGTGACCGTCACCCGGAACAGGATAATACGAACGGGGACGAGGATAGAAAGAAAGAAGGGACCTGGTGGATCTTGCCTACAAAAAAATCGCCACACGACAATAGTGGCTGTCTGCTCGAGAATCAGGGATCTTTAAAAATGCACGGTTATATTCAGCGCAGCTTAGAAACAAACGGAAAATATTTTGGTGGCATATATTTAATTCCTTCAATATCATACACTAACATCTCATGATATTGCGCATAATATACTTTAAAAAAATATCAAATGCAGAATGGTGCTAACAGATGCGCCCCAAATTGATAAGCTCTAAGCGCTGTTCCCAATGATCATGCAATTGTTTCATCATCTATCTATATTATAAATCCTAAAAAGTCCGCCGCCCACGCCCACGTCGGGGTTACTCCCTAAAAGGCTTATTGCGGCGCCGTCGATTGACGCACGAGGGTGAAATTTTCACGACTCGTGGGTCACGTCATTCAACAGGTCGTATTAAATTTTGGGCACGATGTGGCCGGGGGTGCGCCCGTGGCGCGTGCTCATGTGCGCCATAGGGTTAACATTAAAAACGGCAAAAACAGGCTATTGCTCGGGAACGGTAAGGGCTACGGGGCTGAAATTTTCACACCAAGTCGAACGCGTGCACTCATTTGTCGTATTAAATTTTCGACGGTGTGGGTTCAGCGGTGTGCACGTGGTGGGGCCGCGACCGGTGCCGAGCAAAACGCTCGTGCTTTAGGCTCAGTTGTTCGCTTAAAAACCTGAGTGAAAAGCATCAGAGCCGGCAGGTCATTGACCTTTGACAACGAAGGCCGACACAAGGCACCGCTCGCCAAGGGGATTCGCCAGTAAATACAATTAATTTGTTTTTGCAATATCTAAGCCGTTTCTGGGCCGATTTAGCTGAAACTTGGACTGTCGGTGGTAGTGTAGTTTAGGGTAGGGTAGGGTATGGTAGGGTATGGTAGGGTAGTGTAGGGGTAGGGTAGGGTAGGGTAGGGTAGGGTAGGGTAGGGTAGGGTATAGGGTAGGGTATAGGGTAGGGTAGGGGATTGTAGGGTAGGGTAGGGTAGGGTAGGAGATTGTAGGGTAGGGTAGGGTAGGGTAGGGTAGGGTAGGGTAGAGTAGGGTAGTGTAGGGGTAGGGGTAGGGTAGGGTAGGGTAGTGTAAGGTTAGGGCAGGGTAGGTTAGGGTAGGGTAGAGTAGGGTAGGGTAGGGTAGGGGATTGTAGGGTAGGATAGGGTAGGGTAAGGGATTGCAGGGTAGCGTAGGGTAGGGTAGTGTAGGGGTAGGGTAGGGTAGTGTAGGGGTAGGGTAGGGTAGTGTAGGGGTAGGGTTAGGGTAGGGTAGGGTAGGGGATTGTAGGGTAGGGTAGGGTAGGGGATTGTAGGGTAGGGTAGGGTAGGGGATTGTAGGGTAGCGTAGGGTAGGGTAGTGTAGGGGTAGGGTAGGGTAGTGTAGGGGTAGGGTAGGGTAGTGTAGGGGTAGGGTAGGGTAGGGTAGGGTAGGGGATTGTAGGGTAGGGTAGGGTAGGATAGTGTAGGGTAGGTTAGGGTAGGGTAGGGTAGGGTAGGGAAGTGTAGGGGTAGGGGTAGGGTAGTGTAGGGTAGGTTAGGGTAGGGTAGGGTAGGGTGGTGTAGGGGTAGGGTAGGGTAGTGTAGGGTAGGGTAGGGTAGGGTAGTGTAGGGTAGGTTAGGGTAGGGTAGTGTAGGGGTAGGGTAGGGTAGGGTAGGGGTAGGGTAGGGTAGGGGTAGGGTTAAGTTCAAAAAGGGCCTAACATACAAAACACTTGAACACCCCGCACCTATCGCCAACCCTTACAGTTTAATTAAAAACAGCTACCCAAATCTATCCAAATAATACATCTAAAAATACAAGTCAATCACCCAAACTAATGCACCCGTAACTTAACATAAATCAAAACATACAGTTATCGCGTAAACCTGTACCTCTAGTTTCGATAAATCGTCAATCAACAAGGCAACATCGCTACTGGGGGAGGCAGCGTTTAGCGTGGAATTAGTGCTACTCGCACGACTATCATGGAATGAACGCTAAATGACAAGCGATTACATGAGCTATCGAAGACTCAAATGTATATGAGAAGGGTGAATCCGTAAAGCCAGCTTGTGTTGTTCCACAAGACAAATACCGGCTTGGGCGTTTGGTAAGTTGTGGTCCTGAAAATCTGGATGCACCAGCAAGTTTTAAATCGAACTCAAATGGTAAAACAACATTCAAAAGGTCGAAGCCCGCCATCATTCGATATAAGCTACCAAAGTATCACAGATCAACTGAACAAAGTTTCACTGGCTCGTCACATCAGGTTCATAATAGCATTCAGTAACACTTTGATACTCAAATCACATCAAACCTTACTACTGGCTCTTGTGTTAACTGATGACCAGCGATGATACGATACTGAAGCTACCCACGATTAACTGAGTGCCCAAATATTACCCGGCCTTTAAGCATATGAATAACAAATAGGTAACCCCGTATCCTAAACTACACTGGTCCCATGCGATCTACACCTACGCTGTCCGTGGGCCGCAGACGGGTGCCATTTGTTACAGCACCCGCGGCCTCTGGTCACCCGCCAGCCCCCGCTCAGAGCTGAAACAGCTCGGCCGGCAGCTGGTCCCGCCGAGGGAAGCTGACCTGAGCTCCGGGCCGGGCCACGCTGGCTGTGGCGATGTGACAGGCGCGCCGGACCGCCTCCTCGACCGCCAGGCCCGGCAGACAGGCCAGCATGTAGCCGAGCGCGCCCAGGAACGCGTCGCCGGCACCCTGCAAAAACGGTTGATCAGCGGCATCGTGGGACAAAGTTCACAACTCCAGCGGGCACTAATGCACCAGCTCGAGGTCTTTGAGAGCGACGTTAACCCACAGTGTAGTGTGTCAGCGTGTGTGTGTGTGTGTGGAGGGGAGAAAAAGATCGGGTACTTACCACCGTGTCCACCACCTCCTGGGCGGGCGGCGCGGCCACGTGAACACTCTGCCGTCCAGTTGCGACGTACACGGCGCCCTGAGCACCCAGGGTGACGATGGCGGCGCGGCAGCCGCGGCGCAGCAGCGCGGCAGCGGCGAGCTCTGCCTCCTCGACAGAGGTCACCGGCAGGTCGGTCATCACCTCGGCCTGTCGACAGTGGCGGTCACGGGTCAGTGGGCGGTACAAAGGTCAGTGATGGTAACAACATATGCCAGGTGGCCAGTCTACACGTCAGTGATGGCCACAGGCCACCGATCCACAAATCAATACCGGTCCGCGTTGTGTCACCGATTCGCAGCGCCAGCAGCAACTAGGGTAACACTGACTGTTTCCGAAAATTACGCAAAGATCACACAAATACATGCATGAAAAAAGCCTTTCGGTGCTAAACCAAAGATGGATAAAAATAACAACAAACAAGTAAAATTGGACAAAACAAACAAAAGGTATGGCTAGGGGAAATTATAAGCATACCTCTGTTTCGTTGACGCAGAAGATATCGGAAAGCTCAAATAGCTCGTTATCCTTGACCGGCATGGCTGGTGCTGCGTTCACAACGGTAGTCACTGAAAACGGAGAACAGATGAATTGCGGTCTCAACCAAAAGAAAAAAAAAAACAACAATCGGAAACAGGGCTCGAATGTACCTAAATACGAAGATGAAAAGAAAGCAGAATAGAAAAGCGCAATACAGCAGAGCAGGCAGAAGGGGGACGACAAAAGTTACTTCGAGCCGGTCCCGCTCAGTCCACTGACCATTGTGCGCACGGCCGGCGCGCAGGGCCGCCAGCGTGGTCTCCAGCGGCACCTCCAGCTGACAGAGTAGCACGCGCGCAGAGTTGAACAGCGCGTCCGCTGCCTGCACGTCGGCTGGAGTGAGCAGCATGTTGGCGCCGGCCACAATCACGATCGAGTTCATACCTGCGGCGAGAGCGGTGGCCGTAAGCGGTATCGGCGCAGCTTAGTGGACATAACGTGCAAGTCGCTAAAATTGGCGAGTGGTGATGCTCGCATTATCGCTATGACTGTAAATTGTTGGTCGTATTCCACAGGCACAATAGCATCGGCCATTAGGACTTACTATAAGCGTTAATAATTGCCGTTAACTATGGGTGAATACCACCTACTAAGGATTTATTCACTGGATAAAAGGGGCTTGTAATTGTCATTTTAAGTTGCCCTCTAACAAACCTGAAACGTACAGGGTGTCCCATAAGTTCCTTCTCACCTAAATTTTTCTTTTAGAGGCTCTCTTATTCAAAGCCACGCTTAATTTATTTTGTAACTGAGCTTTTGGGGTTGCCATGGCAACTGTGAATGTGCTCCACGGTAACTAATTCGTCTAGACAAAATATTTTTTGCCAGAGAGTTCACTTCCTTTGGAGACGGCTTACGCCGCAACATAGAGGTCTCTGATACGGGAACGTTTCGGTATTTAGACCGCACTGGGCCATTCACGACGGTTGAGGGTGATTGAGGCCATCCAGTATGTAGCCAATGTCTGTCGCTAACTGGACGCACAGTCAACAAGTGACGCCGATGATTTGTCGGGAGTCAATCGCTGCAAGTTTATGCTCTTTTTTTGTCAGCTTTCACGAGTGAGCCATGTGGCCAAAACTGTGTGGCGCCAAAATGGCCGTCAAAAAGGTCTTAGCGTTAGAAAGTTGGTAAACAGGCTTTTCAGGATGTATTACCAGCTGTCTAAGAGTATCATTTCGGGGTACCTAACTCAAGGTGACTTAAGCTCTACTTACCGGAGGGCTCAAAACAGTCAAAAACGTCTTAAAATGGCCAAACATGTGTTTCGTTATGCCTGAGGCTAAAAAAACTGGAGGGCCGATGACATCAATGTGGTCATCTGGACTACCTAGTCCGTGCTCGAGATAAAACACCCGTCCAAACCCCAAAACGGTCCCATATGGGCGACGGAAAAGGCCTTTGTGTCATCCAGCTTTATTCCTATGCAAAAGGCCAGGGTCACGGAAATGTGGGGTAATATGCGTCCAGACACTGATCACGTTGCGAATGATGCTCCAGAAACAGTCTTGGGACGCAGAATGCTTCTCCAAGAAGATCTAGGAGGAGTTTCAGCTTTCTAGCTTAACTTGAACCGCAAGTATGACCACATTTTTTTAGGAGAAAATGGCATCCGGGAGGTCGTAGGCCCATCTTCAAGCAAGACAGTGCATCAGTGCAGAGGTCAAGCAAAGCATAAAAACAGTGCCAGGAGACTGTGATAGGCGTGTGTGGCAAAATCACATCCCAGGCAACTCATCGGATCCAAATTTCATAAAAATGTGTTGGGAATATTGAAATCGAGGCTCGTCGAAGCGAAGCGGTGTTCCAGCATTGAGGAGCTCACGGCGCATGCCAAGTCAGTCTGGGCTAACTTCAAGCCTGCTATGCTGCCAAACATGCCGGTTGGCATGTCACAGCATGTATTCATGTGTTTGCCTATGAAATGGGGAGCACATTGAGGGGTTATAAACATATCAAAACGCAATGTACTATGTTTTACATGCAAATAAAAGGTGAGAACGAACTTATGGGACACCCTGTATGGACAGCCGCACAAATATGAGAACTCTGGCCGGCCTATACTGTATTCCCAAGGAGCTCTAGAACCATCCTACCTTTGCCATCGACGCAGATTTGCGCCACTCCGGTGGAAGCCTCGCTGGTGGAGGTCACGTGGGTGATGTCCACACCGACCTGCACCAGGTTCTCCTTGTAGAGCCGACCGAACGCGTCGTCCCCCAGCTGACCGGCGGAGAAAACAGGGGAGTGAGTGATGAGTGAGTGAGTGAATCAGTGAAGAGAGAGAGAGAGAGAGAGAGAGAGAGAGAGAGAGAGAGAGAGAGAGAGAGAGAGAGAGAGAGAGAGAGAGAGAGAGAGAGAGAGAGAGAGCGAGACGGAGACGGAGACGGAGACGGAGACGGAGACGGAGACGGAGACGGAGACGGAGACGGAGACGGAGACGGAGACGGAGACGGAGACGGAGACGGAGACGGAGACGGAGACGGAGACGGAGAGAGAGAGAGAGAGAGAGAGAGAGAGAGAGAGAGAGAGAGAGAGAGAGAGAGAGAGAGAGAGAGAGAGAGAGAGAGCGAGACGGAGACGGAGACGGAGACGGAGACGGAGACGGAGACGGAGACGGAGACGGAGACGGAGACGGAGACGGAGACGGAGACGGAGACGGAGACGGAGACGGAGACGGAGACGGAGACGGAGACGGAGACGGAGAGAGAGAGAGAGAGAGAGAGAGAGAGAGAGAGAGAGAGAGAGAGAGAGAGAGAGAGAGAGAGAGAGAGAGAGAGAGACTGGCCCTTGTGTGAGATGCAAGCTAACCTTGGCTACCATGGCAGTGCTGGCACCCAGCTTGCAGGCCATTACGCATTGGTTGGCACCCTTTCCTCCACATGTCAAGGCAAACTTGGTGCCATGGACAGTTTCACCAGCTCTCGGAAGTCTAGCAGTGTAGCTGGAAAATAAACAAGAAATTAAAAAAGGATAGAAGAAAAGGTCTTGAGGATACCTTGACCTTGCATGCATGCACTATTTCGAAAATTTCATGAACTTGACCTCATGTCATATTTCATATTTCAATGCACAAATTTTTAATCTATTCCAATTCCAACTACAAAAAAAGCAAAACAAAACTAACCATGTTTGATCCGACATGCAAGACCCAACCACAACCAAATCCATTCTTCTTTTGATTTATGTCAATTTGAATTATAGCCCTGCGCCCTGCGGTATAACCAGTTGAACCACGGTATAGAGAACTTTGAGTTGAACCAAGGCAGTTGAACCGTAAATCGATGTAAATCGTGAGAGCTGTTCAATAATTCCTGTCACTCAAGCCTACTCAGTCCCACACACAAGCAAGGCCGTATAAGTTAGGTAAGATCGTCCGGGCTCGCTAATGTTACAAATCTGCAACACTACGGTGACGTCACCGGTGCATACGCTCCCCGGCTCCACCCGGACCCTGATGCGGCGGCTGCAATCGCTGCTAATCGAAAAATTACTTGTGCAATAGCGCTTTTAAATGACTTTAAAAGGGGGAAAATATGATAGCAAAATAATTATGAGAATCCTTTGCCCTGACTGAGATTGTATGACCCCGCCACCTATCGGACAACGTCGTAATTAGGGTTGAGTTGGAGATCGCCAGATGGCTTGTCAGTAAGCTGTCAGCCGGACAGGAGAGGGGCCGTCAGGCGCTTAATATTATGTAAACGCCAGATCATGCTCAGGAAAATGCGACACGCTTAAGAACGGTCATTTATCTCGAAAAAGATGCGGTGCCCTGTGGTGATATGGCCCATGACTCGGGACCCGTAGGGGCCGTAGGCACCCACAATCCTACGGCCTACGGGTCCCGAGTCATCAGGGGCCTTTTAAGGCCCCTGTGGTCACCGGCAGCTCCCAAGGCCCCTACGGACGCGATACATGTTTCGAAAATCGCTAGACAAAGGACTCAGGGGCGCAGCCAAGGGGGGAGGGGCACACCGGGCTTTAGCCCCTCCCAAATTTAGCAGGCGCCCTCTGGAAAGACGCCATCCAGGGCGCCGAAGGCGCCGTGGATGGCGCCTTCCACGATCATACCGTCGAGGGCGATCACGATCTAGTCGCCCTCGATGGTAAGCCATTGCGACGTCCTCATGCGGTACTGGCGCCCAGATTTACAATTTTATATCTCTTTGTGGGTGAAGATGCACCCACAATCCTGAAATGCCGGATATCCACTCCCAATCTCCTGACCATCTTGCGCCCTCGGCTCACCTTCAGCGCCCTTCTGTCTGGTCGGCGCCCTTCTGATCTGTCGGCGCCCTTCTCGCCTTTCAGAGCTCTCCTGGCCTGTCGGCACCCTCCTCACATTCGGCGCCCTCCGGGCAGACCAGTTAGCGCCCTCATTAACATTATCACACAGCATCCTCCTGATCTGTCTCGCCCTCCACACTTGTCAGCACCCTCCTGACCTGGCAGCGCCTATCGTACTTTATAGCGCCCTCCTCACCGTACAGTGCCCTCCTGACCTGCCGCCATCCTCCTCACTGTATAGCGGCCTGCTAACCATGCAAAGCCCTCCAGACCGGCGCCCTCTACGTTCAGCGCCGCCCTGACAAGTCGGTGCCCTTTTCACCGCAGACGGCCCTCCTGATCTGTCGGCGCCCTCCTGACCGTACATCGCCTTCCTCACCTTGTCCGCGCCCTCCTCTTTATACAGTGTCCTCCTGACCTGTCAGCGCCCTCTTCACTCGTATAGTGCCCTTCTCATCGTACAACATACTCCTCACCGTTGGCGCCCTCCTGACCTGTCGGCGCTCTCCCCACCATACAGCGCCCTGCTGCCTTGTCGGCGCCCTCTTCACGGACAGCGGTTTTCCAGATCTGTCGCAGCCCTTATCACCGTGCAGTGCTCTTCTGACCTGTGAGCGCCCTCGCCTGTCGGCGACATCTTCGCGTTCAGCGCCCTCCTGACCAGCCTGCGCCTTTTGCAACGCATAGCGCCCTCATCACCATGCATCGCCCTCCCGACCAGTCAGCGTCGCCGTTCATCGTACAGCACCCTCCTGACCTGTCGGCGCCCTCCTCACAACACACCGGCCAGTTCTGACCGGTAAGCGTTCTCCTCACCATGCAGACAATGCAACACTTGACAATTAGGAAAGCGTTAAGTAGCCAATGCTTAACCCTCGCCGGCACAGGCCATTTTGCGTCATTCGACGGCACAAGGGGGGTACGACCCCCCCTCGCGTTTGGCCCCTGATTGAGCTAGAGCTTCGCGGAAAAACGAGCGTGTTGCCCGTCACGAGAGGAAGCCGATGATATCCAATTTTAAGATCCTAGGTCATCGGGTGACCTTCTAGGTCAGGTCAATGACCCAAACATCAGGAATATCGGGACCTGTTAGAAAGTCGTAAAGTGTGGCTGCTATGGAGTTCTCCGGGGTGCTGATCACGAATATCGTGTTAGTTTTGATCAGAGATGATGTCTTTAAGCATTTAGACCAGGTCGGGTCAGGTCAGGTCAGGTCAACCGGTAGAGGTCGTGACGGGTATTCGTAATACGTGTCAACCGCCTCTGACAGCTTCGTAACATGTTACGAAGGCACCAAAACTACTTCGTAAATGTTCAAATGGTTGCTAAATTCGAAATCAGCTCCAAAAACTGGCCTAGGAAGATGTAAAACTCGAAAAAGTAAACCGAGGTCACCAAAGGTCGATGACCTGACCTGACCTTCAGGTGACCTTGACATCCACCCTAATGCATAAGAGCAACATAAAATCACATGTTTGAACGTTTGAAACCACGAAAAGCTTGCAAACGCGCGGCTAATGCGAGCCGACATACGCCGAATCGCGATTCCGGCCAAATATGGTCTCGGAAAGTAGGTCACAGGTCAAAGGTCATTTGGGTCAGGGTCATTAAATTTTCAGGATAGGTGTACAATTGATCAATGCGAGGGTACTGAAAGTTCCGTCGCGATCGGCCGCTTTTTACGCTAGTTATTCGCGAAAAACCTTAGGGGGGGGGGTTGCATCAACTCAACTCCCTGTGCCGGCGAGGGTTAAAGTGATTTTAGGCGCAAAGTAGTAATGAAGCAATTTCCGGAAAGTAAAAGGATGACAACGTTGCCAGCGTTTCCGGAACGTTTCCGGAAAGGAACTTGTTTACAACCGTGACCCTCAAAATCGTATTTAAGGCCAAACTTGCGGGGAAGGCCAGCTGACAAGTGTACGCGCCGGTGACGTCACGGGTAATGTTAAACATTCGGGCGCCCGGCACATAGGAAAGCTCGGGATGACAGCCCCCTGCACACAAGGGGGAAAAGCTCAAATTATTGAGCGCTCAAAATATTGAGCGTGTGACGTCAGAGGCTCCCATAGGCGTAATGCTGAGGGCTCAAAAAATTGAGCCGTTTCAGGAACACGTTTTGCAAAAGCAACTCGCAACACCTAGGGAGAAATGGCAACACCCTAGGAGAATCACTAATGATGCAAAACAGATTAGGCTTTCATATTTTTCACTGCTCAAGCTTCAATGATTGGGGGAACACCAATTTATAGGTCGAAATCCTACAGCGCTCAGAGCGCTGTTCGGCAGCCGGCTATTTTGTGTGCAGGGTATGACGCATTCCGCGAGCCGACGTCACGGGCGATGACGTCGGCTCGCGCGCGAGCCGAGCGCCAACGACAAACTAACGGGAACCCTCGGACACCCTCGGGGCATGAACCGCGGAGTAGCATATTGAGCGAGCCTTATAAGGGAAATTCATATATTTTCGTTTCTCAAATGATCGTCAGGGTGTCTCATACCTTTTTACATATCATTTGGGCTTACCTAACACTTCAGTTGCCAAATATCTACAATTTATTCAAACGACGGTATTTTCAGTAAATATCAATGCTATAGACCGAAATCTTTTGAATAAAAACTCCAACCAACAGAAATAAATATAACTTAATTTATTCCAACCATTTCCTCCAAATAAACAACATAAAAACTCACTTTTACACACATCATTCATAATAAAGCATACTAACACGCCGCTTTTGACAATTGCGGCGTAGAGTGGCGCGCTGCTAGCGCTCTTTTTCGATCGCAGAGACCCTGCACGCGCGCGAGCACACTACGTCACGTCCGGGGGCACAGGCATGGATGAAGGAGAACCTGGATTGGAAACTAACAGCTGATTGCGTTCCCTTCGGTAAGTGCCCGAGGGCACGCGCGGCGGCAGCGGGAGCCGCGTCTGCCGCGCATTCACTGGCGCCGCGTAAGCGTTCACCGGCGCCGCGTAAGAGAAAAACACTAGAAATGGCCCTCTTTTGCAAGGTCGCCTGTATTCGGCCCTCGTGTACGACTTTTGTGCGGAACGGACAATAATAGTTTTGGTCTCATTCGATAGCCTGATCAATTTTGTCTGTCGTAAATAGCTTCTAAACCTAAAAATAAATCCACATTGCGGTCTAATACCCGTTTCAAAACATGCCGCCCCGCGTCCCCCATAGGCCGTAATGCTTAACGGCGGGAGTTTCCAGTCCCGATACTTACCGAACGCTAGGTGGCAGGTCGATCGCCCGGAACGCTGCCCGTAATGTTGAAGGAATAGGAGTTTCCTATCCAGGTTCTTTCATCCATGGCACAGGTATATGAAAAATCGCAGTGACGTAACACTTTTCTCGCTTCTCATTGGTCAATAGCCCGTTGCCGGGGTAACGTGCACGTATGTGAGCGCGGGCTTGAGCGCGGGCAAGAGTACTAGCCGGCCGCCGATCAGGGCTCTGGATGACTTAAAAACAGGCCAATATTTATATTGAAATAAAAGTGATTTTTTGTCCATTCACGTTTTTTAGTAGGGTTCTGTTGGAAAGAGCATTTTTCATACTACCCAAAATGATTGTGACTCAATTTCACATTACCCGTATCGGAGAATATTTTTCATGTGGCGGCGCCGTTTGTTTATTTCGTCGCGATGTCTCCGGTCGCGTGGTTGTCGTCGTCCTTGTGCTGAAGGTAAGTTTTTATCGTTTTAGTTATACTTAGATGTTAAAAGGTACAAGGAAAAGTTTGAATATGCTGTGATTTTAAATTTGGAAACACGTAAATGTCAATCAATTCACGTTTTCCTCGATTTGCGTGCAGATAAGTAACTGTCGACGAAAGTGGCGCCATCCGATATGATGTTTTGAAGGATGGAGACACAACATATTTACGTGAAAATTTTTGCTTTTTAGTGGTCTAAGTGCTTCAAAGAAGCTGTGAATGTTTTCTTCACACAATTTTTCATTAGGTATGATGAGGTAAAAGGTAGTTTCAGTCTTAACTTTCATATAATTGACATTAAAACATATGATAGTCCACTGCTATCAGTGATTGAGTACCTTGATATTTGGCATTTCATATGAATTTGAATGTATTCTCTATCCATATGTCCTGATAGTAAGTGAGAATACTCTGCCAATATGTTTTCATAGTTTTCACATTCATTTTCCAGTCCTTTACATAACATCACAATTTATAATCAACAGAACTCAACTCCTTCGTTACTTCACAACACTGACAGCATGACAGACTGACAGTCAACTATTGTGTGTGTGAATGCTGAAACAGGATAGCCACTTTGCTGACTGGCTCATATGAAATAAGATAAAAATGATCCTTTATATCATTTCCATCTGGAGGATCGGAGTCAACGGAAAAGCAAGGCCACTTTTAAGGTCTAGGCCGCCAGTCGGCAGTCACCACCAAATTTATAATAGATTAATTCATTATTCATACTTTGAGACTCTTAGGTCACTGGATCGACAATCGACATCACATTTTCAGTTTCAATATAGTAAAGGTTTTTATTTGTATGACGTGAAATATTTTCCTGAATTTAATTATCCCTAGGTACCTGGCAGAGGTTTCAGATTTAATGCTCATTGTTGGTGTGCAGTCAGGATTTTTTGACAGCTCCAGATAGGGAATCCTGAGCAATTTTATGGTTAAGTGGTCTGTTGATCCTTATAATCACCACACATTTCATCAAAAGCATTTGCATAATTCATTCAGTGAAGAATTTTATCAATGTTGCACCCATTTCTTAGATGACCTAGGCTGCATCTTTTTTTAGTTCTTGTTGTATGACATATTTTCCATTTTGTTCCACTGCATAAAGAAAAAAATCGTTTGAGATCACCAAACAGCTTTTCTTTTTTTGGCAGGTCTGCACAACCAAGCGGTCGCTGGCGAGGACGTCGGCAGTCCCTGTGGGTAAGGTCATCTGCTCAGCCTTTGTGTAGATCAGCAAGACGTCACCAAGATGAAGACTTCGCTGAAGCAGAAGCCGCTGACCCGTGTCCGATCGGGCAGGTCATGCTCGACGGCACGAGCCACAACTTGAACGACTCGGTGACGTCAACAACATGGTGGAGCAGGTGATGGTGAATGAGTTTGGCGACGTGTTGTGCGACTGCAAGAAGGGTTGTCGGCGTGTTCTGGCCGGCGGAGCGGCGACGCTGCGCGGTCTGTGCGCTGGCGGTGAGCAGCTGGCCGTGGCGACCGCGCGCGCCCACATGCGCCGACAATCTGTGCGGCTTCGACGGCTGGGCACGCTGGCCCGGGACAGCCCGATGCCGCCCATTATGCGACGCCGGACGCGCACTGTCCGCACGGCCACATGGAGGTGTGCCCGCGCCTTTTGCGCACGCCGCTACCTCGCAGCTGGTCTGCAACCACGCCGTCGCCACCTGTAGCCCGATAACAAAACGGCTGTCTGATAATGCCGCGTGTTCTTTGTGATGTGATAGTATTTATAGTCACCGTGGTGATAGGGTTGCTACTGCTGGTCTGAGACTCGATGTTTCCATTCGTCCTTTACATGTTAAGGATTTGATAATGATTAGCTTAGTCCGAGCTTAGGTCGTTTTTATATCATTCGTTAAATGGCATATTTTGGATCAAAGCATTACGACACTGCCTCCTGCTTTTGTGATGTATGCTGGCAAGACGCAGGTTCCGGTCGCAGGTCACCCGGTTCCAATGTGGTCGGGCTGGCATGCGATGATGTGATGTCGTTTTGCTCGTCTCTGTGATCCACACTTGATGATGTTTGTGAATCTAACTCACATGGTATAGTATTTTTGTTTGTTTGCGGCCGATGGCCTTGTAAGTTGTAACCGTGACAATACAGTTTTTCCTGCTATAATTCTCCAATATTCAAGCGTGGGGGGATATCTTTCTGTATTCATGCATTCCCTTCTCCCAGTACAGTCTTGGACACCGTTTTATTATATCGGATAAGCATTGCACTTTCTTGTCAATCAATACATTAAAAGAAAACTTGATCATAATATTATACTGCGGCAATTGTAGTTCTACTTACGGTTGCCTCTTTATGATACGGGCCACCACCACCTCCACTGCGCTGGGGCTCAGGGCCCTGTTTCACCGCCCGACGCTGCGCGCGCTGCAGCGCGCTGGGAGCTGAGGCGTACCCCTGACGTCACTCGAATGACGTCGCGTGCGGTCCGTTAGCTTATGATGAATCGCGTTTGGAACAGAGGTCCTAAAGAACCAAGTACAGAGAGAACATAGGTTTGAGTGCGAATGCTGCTAGCGTGCTGATGGTGCTGGCGCTTAGGTGCTAGCGTTTTGCGATGACGTCATAGCGTAGCGTCAGAGGGAAGTTTGTTGATATTGCCATGGAAACCCAACGCGCCGACGCGCGCAGCGCACTGCAGCGCTCCGCCGTGAAACAGGGCCCAGGCGTTCTACCCCTCCCCGCTACGAACCGGCCCTCGGGCTAGGTGTGTTAGTACTGAGCGCAAACCTGTAGTAGTCACGTGACTTTCATTCACTTAGCGGGAACGGAAGCTATAGGCGATACCAAGGACGGGCTCTGGGGAGGCAACCGGCGCGGAAAAATAGCACGATTGTAGTTTTGGAAGAATATCTGTTACGGTAAGAGGAATTATACAAAACATACGTCCTAGGAGCAAACATGTGTTATTCCGCCATACTTTGCGCTACATTTCCTTTCTCCAATGGCCAGCACTTAGCAAATAATAGCGCAATTCTAAATTGGTAATATATGTGTACAGTAGCAACTGCGGGTCCCTGTACCACGTAGCATTCAACTTCCTGCATTTCTGTTTCAACTCAGTTTAACGTATTTCAACGAACATAACATCAAAAATGGCAGCCAGTACCGGCTTAACCTATCAAGGAGAACGCTAAAAAAATTGAGTGTAGATGCTGGCCGGCACTCAATTTTTTGAGCGCCAGCTGACTGTCGTCTGTCGTGGCGCTCAATTTATTGAGTATCGCGGTCCCGAACGACAAGTGGCGCTCAAAAAGTTGAGCGTCTTTAGGGCATTTTCTTTCCAAAAACACCGATATAAATTATTACGGCGAGTGTTCGAGAAGAAACCTTGTTGCTCTCTCTTGCCATTGATACCTTATTTGGATACGATATTTGCCGTAGCGTGACGCTAAAGGCATTGTAAAATTCCATCGTTTCGCCTATTCCTTCATAATGGGGCCCACTCAATTTTTTGAGCGCTCAATTTTTTGAGCTTTTCCCCCTTGTGTGTGGGACTGTACTAGGTACTGCTGCCAGAATTTTAGTCCAATGGCGTCGCTATAAAGCTAAGAGATGGACAAGTTGCTAATAGCAACGAAAATAAAAAGAAAACTGGCGGCAAAATAGAACACTTTATCATGTTGTTGCAGTGATGGCGCAGTTGTTTCAAAATAATCTTACCATTCGTTCTGCTTTTGGTTCAAGTTGGTCCTTGGTTTCCTTCGGTTCATTCTTCACGACCAGGGGGATGTCGTCCCGGTTCTTCCCATGTATTATTCGCCAATCAGCTTAACACTACCGTTGACGTCACTGGAGGACCGCCAATCGCGGCCGGCCGGCCGGCCGGCCGGGCCCGTAGAAGGCCAAACGCAGACGTTTTCAGAAAAGCGTAAGCCATAGATATCTATGGCGTAAGCCGTATAGATACAGTCGTGGATGGAGTTTTGCTGTGATTCGGCTCTCCAAGAGTGCGTCAGGGTACCAGGACCCGGACAAAGGTCATAGTGAACCGGCATCTGATAAAATCCGCTCGCCACTTAGCAGCCGACTTCGACCCTTCACCCTCGTAAATCACAAAAGCCTGCCGGTCATCAATCCACCTGCATCTCTGCCCATCTGCTTACTACCTATATCGACCAGTTACTGCAGCCGTTTGGGAGCGGCTCACGGCCGATAACACACCGGCCGTGCGCTAGCCGCCGGTGCTAAGCGCTAACCACTGAGTGCGCGTGGCCGACTGCCGCCCCGATATGGCGCTGGGCCCCGGCACCGGCGCGGCGCTGCTGACCCATGGAGGGGGGGGGGGCTGATAATTAGTTGAGCCGGAATTGGGATAGAAGGCGGTATGGGATTGGGATAGAAGCTCAGCGAGACTAAGGGATTGTGTGGTGCCTTCGGTAGGCCCCTCAAAATCACTCGTGTAGGGCCCTCAGGGCCGCCGGTTATGAAGCCTTTGGAGGCACTGGTGTGGGCCCTCACAGGTACCGGTGTGATGCTCTCAGAGGCATTGGTGCGGGGCCCCCAGAGGTGCCGCTGTGGGTCCTCAAAGGCGCCGGTGAGGGTCCTCACAGTTGCCGTTGTGGGCCCTCAGAGACATTGCAGTGTGGGGTTGTCACAGTCGGGTGTGGGACCCTTAGAGCTGCTGGCTCGAACCCTTTACAGGCCGACAGGGGCTCTCAGAGACGGACAAGGGGCTCTCAAGAGGTCTGCGGTGCCTTCGGGAGCCCTCTGGAGTCCTTAGAGACCAGCAAGGTACACTCAGACGCCAGTGGGGCCCTCAGAGTCGTCGGTGTGGGGCCTCAAAAGTCACCGGTGAGTGGCCGCCCGATGCGGCTCCGGCGTTGAGCCCCCAGAGCCGCCGATATATGGCCTTAAGAAGTACTGGTTTCGGGACCTCATTCAGGGGTGCCGGTTGCACTCAGAGGTGGCAGTGTTGGGCCCTCAGCTAGGCACCGGTGTGGGGCATTCACAGCCGCCGGTGAGGGCCCTCGCAGGCGCCGTTGTGGGGGCCTTCAACCATTGGTTTAGCTGGTCATCGCAGGCGTGTGTGGAACCCTTAGAGCTGCTGGTCCCTGATAGGCCGGTAAGGGCCCTCAGAGGCCGGCAAGTAGCCCTCAGAGGTCGCCAATAGGCCCTGAGAAGCCGGCAAGGGGCCCTCAAAGGCCGACAGGGGACACTAAAAAGCCGGTGTGGGGCTCTTATGGAGAGAAGTGTGGCTCTTCGGAGCACATAAGGTGTTCTTCCGACCCCTGTGGGGCCCTTCTGAGTCGAAAGATGCCAGCGTGGACCCTCAGCCGCCAATTGGCGTCGCAAGGCCCCTCTGGCCCGAGAGGCCCCCTGATCCGATGGGAGCACGTGCCCCTGCATCCCCTCCCCCCGGGTGCAGATAGAGAATGCAATCGGCGGTGCGGAACACAACAATTGCAATCGTTCCTCCTCCCGTCGCGAGGTCGCCCATCCGACCTATATCCCAAGATTGTCAACCCTGGGGCTCGGGTCGGCAATGTACCGGCAAGGAAATCAGCTTTAGGTGAGTAAAAAAGTTATTAAGAGTCATTAGTTGTCGTTATGTACGTCGTTCAGTAATAACAACTATACGGTGCCAAATGTACCCGACGTACAGCTTGGAGCCGGGCGCCGCCCGGTCTCCACCAGTGACGTCACGCTAATGCTTAGCGACCGGTCCATTGGAAATCGCGGGATGATTCTACCTCTCTTATACGGCCTTGTTCACGACTGAATTTTTACAGTGTTTACGATTGACTTCTTTGTGAGCAAATTTGTTTTACAAAGGCCTTGGTTTAAGCTGTAGAAAGGAAACCCGATATATATATATATATATATATATATATATATATATATATATATATATATATATATATATATATATATATATAGGTATATATATATATATATATATATATGCACATAAACCGGTTTAACGTAACACTTGCTGCCCGGTGAAAATTGCCGGAGTAACTGCCCCCTGCTCGGGAATGGCACTAGGCCGACCGAGCAAAAAAAAAGTACTTATAAAGTGCGGAATTTTAAGAGGCTTTGAAAGGCTTTTTTGAACCTTGGCCTCAGGAAGGATCAGAGGGCTGTTCACGGGCCCTGTGTGGGGTCGGACCGCACACAGCCTCGAAGCTCCGCCCACTTCGTCCCTACGTCAGCCTTCCATCACCGCACACAGCGATCGCTGTGGCCGGTCGGGACTGGCCACAGTGGACCGTCCACCGCACGCAGCCGTGACGTCAGAACCGCCTACCCATCCCCTACCCCCACGCCTGCTGGACGCACCGCACACACCGCACGCAGCAGTGTGCGGTGCCCGTGAACACCCCTCAGGAATCAGGAAGGCCACTTCAACTTGGGATCCAGCCCTAACGAGCTCCTTACTGACTCCATAGTGTCAGCGTACCCCAGACAATAGCCTTACCCCCCCCCCCCCCCCAGACCAAGACCAGACCAGTCTATTGATATCAGATCTTTATTGCACTGTTCTTAAATGCCATGAATGCATCCAACTCATTTCATGAACTTATGAACTTATTGAATGTACTTATGAACATGAACTAATTTCAATTTGGGCTGATTTGCATAGAAAAATCAAAGCTGGTGCATAACCTTTGAAATGCAGAACCATGCACATTGTATATTTTTTAATTGGCTCGTGCTTATGACACAATTTTCATTGATTTGCAGGTCAAGCTGTCCTGACTGGAGCCATGGAGGAAGATGAGCATAAGATGTCATTGGTGTTCAGAAAACTCTGCTCGCCAATGAAGCTGGAGAGAGATCGCGGGCTGGAAGAGCTCCGGGGCCTTCTTCCAGGACTTATTCCTGCTGAGGCAGAACAGCTGCTGGCAGAGGCCAGCGCCGTGCTGGACCAGCCAGAGGTTGTCTGGCACCACCAGCTTGGTGCTCTCACCTGCTTAAGGTAGGTACAAGCTGCTAACACATTTCAGCAAAGTCCATTTATGATGACGGTGACTATCTCCTTTGACTTAGTGCCACAACCAAAGGCCTTATTTTTGCCATTTTATTACAATGATCCCCTCTATCACCATTGTCCTTTGGGCCGTGTGCCTATAAACACTTTTCATGGGTCCAAAATTAGTGCCCTCACACACTGGCGGTCGCAGCCGCTAGCAAAAGGGGGGGGGGGGGGCCAAAGTCACACTCGCGGGACATAACATTTATCCGTCACCGGGAGGGGGGGGGGGGGTGATCGGCTAATTTTTTACGTCCACGAGGTGCCGCGCAGTTGGCATTACTTATACTTCATCCATCTGATTCTTGCGTGAAATCTTTAAGCTCAATTTAAGGCAAAATCACCAGTTCCATTTCCCGTCCCACGGTGCTTCCACCGGTCGGCCCACTGCACCATGACGACGGATCGGTGTAGCATAGGTATACTGGAAGGTCAGGCACGCGGATTCATGACCTTACCACTATAAAACAATTCGGAAAAGTACAGATACCTCTTGCTTTGAACAAGCATGTGAAGCCCAGAGAGCATTTTCAGAGTAAGACATTTACCTACCCATATAGGTAACATACCTAGTTGTGTGGCGGCGGGAGAGAGTAGGTACACCGACCTCTGGAGACCCCCCACAGGTTCCGAGCTGTCAAAATTGGCATCTGAGGGCCGCGCGCGGGCTCTATTGGGGCTCACTCAACCTGCCTAGTCTTACTGCTAAAAAGACTGGCCCTGAGCCCTAAGGACTTCATCAGTCTCTGCCAGCCCCAGGCAGGGCTGCGGAGTCGGAGTCGGAGTCGGAGTCGGTCGGAGTCGACAGTTGTGACCGGAGTCGGAGTCGGAGTCGATTTTAGAAACCCGAGCCGGAGTCGGAGTCGGAGTCACCGAAAATCTGTCGACTCCGCAGCCCTGCTAGGTCTGCGGAGTCGGAGTCGGGAGTTGGAGTCGGTCGGAGTCGACAATTCTGCCCGGAGTCGGAGTCGGAGTCGGAGCTGGTTTTTGAAAGCCGGAGTCGGAGTCGGAGTCGGAGTCGCCGAAAATCCATCGACTCCGCAGCCCTGGCCCCAGGACCCACACCGGCTCATGGGGTCCCGACGTCGAAATATGAGGGAATCTGCGCGGGACCATCAGGACGTAAAGTAATCTCGATCAGGACCAACGTAAGGCTGTGCCGGAGACTGCGTGAGCCCTCTGATCTTCAGAAACCCACCCATGTATGTTTTCACGTAGAGGCCAGTTTAGGGCCCTCAGAGACCAGTACAGGGCCTGCAAACTACAAAGGCCAGTAGTTTGAGACAATCAGTGACCGAGTTGGGCTCTCAGAGGCTAATGTGGGTCATTACAGGCCAACATGGGCCCTCAGAGGTCAGCGTGGGGCCCTAAAAGACCGGCATGAGCCGTCGTTGGACCCCAGAGGCCAGCAGAGGGCCCTCAAAGGCCAAGATGGGCCCTCCTCAGAGGCCAATGCAGGCCCTTAGAGGCCGGCGTCGGGTCTTCAGCAGCCAGTGCGGGGCCCTCATTGGCACCTAAAGGTTCGTCTTGGGACACCACAGACAGAAATAAGGCCACCAGAGACCGGTGTGAGACCCTCAGACGCCGGTTGGGACCCCTGAGGCCGGTTAGGGGCCCTCATAGGCCAGATGTGGGGTCTCAGAGGTTGATGTAGGCTCTTAGCGGCCAACGTGGGCGCTTGACCGCCACTGAAGTTCCATCAGAGGTCAGTGTAGGACGCTCAAAGACCGGTGTGGGAGCTATATTAATAGCTGGGCGTGGGTTTTTTGAGCCTCGTGACGATCGAATAACTGCCAGGGCCCCATACACCTATATGGGGGCCCATTGGTTGTTTGAGGGGGGGGGGGGCAAATGATATGATGGCCCCCTTTATTGACCTTTGGGGGGCATGGCCCTGATGCCCCCCCCCCCCGCGACCGCCACTGTGTACACATTACACACATGCCTCTGAGATTACATACTAGCTCATGCAAACTCTATGCAGGCCCCGGAGTTCCCACGCTAATCCTTAAGAAACCAAGCCGGCATACGGCGTCACCACCGGGCTTCTGAGGTACACAGCACCAACCCATGAGGTCTTACTTAAGTGTCTTAGAGCCAATCTCCTTTAGCAGGGCCCACCCACCACTGCCGAAGAGGGTCTCATGCCAGCCATTGCTGGGCCTACGAGAGCCTCAAGTAAACCCACGCTGATATTCCATATAAGATCCGGCCATACTCGTGAACCGGTGCCAGCGACGCTGACCGCCAAATTGACAGAATGCGATACTGAGACCACTCATGAGTGAAATTTACGTCCTTTGATGGCACAAGAAAGAAAATGAAACATACGAAAAGCTTTTCTAGGACTTTTGTTCGATCTGAAAGGTGGGGCCAAAAGATAGTATGGCCCCACCTTTCAGCACCAAAGGGGGGGCCATGGCCCCCGTGCCCCCCCCCCCCCTGGGACCGCCAGTGCCCTCACACCTGACACCACTGAGTGCTCTACTTGGTAGTGATTTACATGCTTAATGTGAGATCTTGTGAAGTGTGCATATGTCCTGTTAACCCAAAAGCAGACCTGACTCTTACTTGATGTGCCCTGTTTCAGCTTGATCATCGAGACACGCCAGGAGAAGCTGCCAAATGATAAGATTTCACACTTGATAGAGCTCCTGGCAGCCTACCTGTCCCACCAGGAGGCCAGGGTTCGCATTGCCACTGGTGAGATCACTGCCATTGTGGCTGGTCTTTCAATGACACTGTGGGGCATTCTTTGGCCTTGGCCCTCTTGTTGAAGGGTGTTCAAGTAGTGAAAGAACTTACTTTATTGCTGCTGCATAACAGTGACTTTGTTGCTCATACTTTGCTGAACTAGTGTACCTTTATTGGGTCATTGATGAAATAATGCTATAATTACCTTCATTGTTAACATCGCCCATTTCACTCAGTACGTTTCTCTACGATGTTCTAGCGACTCCCGTATTCCCCGCTGAGCTCCCCGCGCCCTCCCCGCTGCGTGTACTGCAGGTGAGCTGCTGGGCCGGCTGTGCTCGCTGCACGGCCCCGCCGTGTTCGACGACGTGCAGCCCACCCTCAGTACGCTGATCCTGACCAGCATGCAGGCGGCAGAGGACGACGAGGACAAGTGGGAGACCAGCTCGGTGAGCCGGTGCTCGACGTGGGGTTAGACCGCTGCAGGCGCAGATTGGTGGCTCCACTTAATGCCTGCGGTTATTTGCCTTTTAAAGACGATCTTATTCTAGGCTTCCCTTTCTTCTAAAGGAGGATCAAGTTATCTGCCGATACTTACATTATGAATCGATAGGCAGTCACGACGTTCTTAATTTTCCGCCGTTTTTGTATCTTAGTATGAGCACGTTGCGATAGAAATTGCTGACCACGGTTCGTATACCCGTTGCTCTCCGAGCCAATGCCTGAGGCCCTAACGCTGTTCTTTCTTTGGTCCGGTTCCTGAGGATCTAAATCTGTCTGTGTGGTCGCAGGTGACGTCTCGCGACTCTGCCGACGTGTTCGCCAACACGAGCAGCTGGACAGTGCTGGAGACGAGTCTGCGCGCGCTGGAGCAGCTGGTGCCAGCGGCGCACCTCCAGGTCAGTGGTACAGTCAGTACCTTCAGGTCAGTGGTACAGTCAATACCTCCAGGTCAGTGATACAGTCAACGACATGATACGGTGATACAGCCTATCATCGCACCAATGTGACCGACAAATCGCACTGGCGGACGGCTGAGATCGGGATATCGCACACGCACATGACGAATAATCAACCGGCTGTTTCGCAGGCGAGCGATGAGCTGCTGAACCTGGTAATTCCTGCGCTGAAGCACAGAAACCGGTTCGTTCGAGAGGCGGGCTTCGGCTGCCTGACAGCGTTTCTGCCGAAGGAAAACTTCGAGCACGGTGCGTTTCACGCCTGTGTTCCGAATAATTTGAATGATTGGCTGCTGTTTCAGTAGCTCAGAAACATGTTGTTCAGAATGTATCGTAAAACTGTAGCTCTCATGTGTTTGTAGCTTTCATTTGCCTGCCAAAAAGTAATTTATTGAATACTCGGATATTAGTTACTAACGTGCGAAAGATGGCCGTTACGGAATGAGCTTATTGAAACCTTCTTACAATCATTAAACAACGCTCTGTCCGATGAGCCCCGTGCCGGTGCCGTCTCCTCTTTAAGTCTCACTAACCGAACAATCGTCTATAGGCTCTGGCGTGCCGCCGGTGTACGATTTCGGTGATCGGCTGGCCGCGGCCATAGCAGACGGCATGGACGACAACTGGAGCCAGGTCAGTTAGCTAAACCGAAAGCTACTTCAACGTGTTGTTCATGGATTTCCTGCAGGCTGCAATAAAAACTGTATGAAAAAAATGATGCGCCGATGTAGACGTGTTCTAACTAAACCAAGCGTTCTTACTTTGACCGCGACATATCGGGAGACATAGAAAGGCTTTATGGGTCTAATGATTAGTCATTACAGAATGCTCGCTAGAAACCGGCACCTAGCACCTTCTGTAGTGATCATGCACGCTAAGCCGCCGTGGTTGGTCTGACTGCGCGTCCCGGCCCTCCCTCAGGTGCGGATGGCAGCCTCTGTGGCGGCACGGCGCTTCCTGTGTGGTCTGTCTGCCGAGCAGAGGCAGCACTACCTGCCGTGCCTGCTGCCCAGGGTCTGTCTCAGCAGGTGGGTACAAAGCAGTCAAGCAATGCTCGATACACCGGTGTGTGGTTAACTATGTTTGGTAAACCCTGCCTTGTTTCGGAAGCTTTATTACGAGAACGGCGTTCAAATTTCCTGTACTTACGTATTCTGCCAGTACCTGCATTGGCAAGTCGCCAAGAGAACTTTTTGTCGAAAGCTTGTCGTAGTAGTCGACTGGCTCATTGCTGTATGCCCTTTCTTTGTCTGACGCTATCGCTTGGTTACAGGTATTACGTGGCCGAGGGCGTGAAGATATACAACCAGCGAACGTGGGAGACGATCGCTGGTCAGCGTGGCAGGGAGTTGGTGGAACAATACATCAACGATGTGGTACGTTTTAACAATAGATAGATTCAGGTGTGTCCGTAATGGCATTTGCTTAATGTATAGGTAGGTAAATGCAACGATAGCCTTTTTTATTTAAAGCTAATCGGATTGGATGACTATGGGTACAACTTCAATTATGACAATAAATGTAGCGTCGCTTGTGCATAAAAGTACAAGTGTAACTTGCAAAAATAGTGCTACTCTGTTGTTCAGCGCATCATAAGTTCGAAAATGATTTGACCTTACTAACCAGTGCTGGAAATACTCGTAACATAGGTACGATCGACTCGTTATAGTGTTATAGGGATTGTTGTGACCACACTTAGTTATTAGGATCGTCACGGATCTGTAACAATGGCTGTCCATCACTATTTTCAGGTGGAGTACTATCTGGTGGCCACCACCGCTGAGAACCACGCCGTGCGCGAAGCGGCCTGCTACTGCATCACCGAGCTGCTGAAGAAGCTGTCGCCGCAGACTCTGGCGCCGTACGCCGAGCGGGTTCTGGACGCGCTGCTCGTGTGCTTCCAGGACGACAGCTGGCCCGTCAGAGACAGTCAGTAGACCAACAGCGGGCTGGGCAGAGGCATAGAGTTTATGTATTATCGACTTTCTAGGTCAACTATATTTCAGTGAGCTGGCGTGACTCTAGAGCAGGCTTGTGCTGGCTCTTGTTTGTTATTTGTTTGTTCTTTGCCACCACGCTGATCTGTCTAAGCGTTGTCAGGTTTCTTACCTGCGTTTTCTGTGTGATAATCAACAGTGGTCGTGGGCACACTGATGAAGCGTGTTTGTATGTTGTTTGCGCGCAGCGGTCTGTTGACTGTGTGGTTAGGGTAAGGTTACTGATGTGTGAATGTGTCCTGTTCGACTCCAGCCGCCTGTCTGACGGTGGACAGACTGCCTGGTGGCGTTTGCTCAGTGCCTTTCTCTGTCGTTTACCTGCAGCTGCCTGCCTGGCGGTGGGCCGACTGCTGGTGGCGTTCCCGGAGACGTGCCGGCCCCACCTGGACCGACTGTACCCGCTGCTGTTCTCCAATCTCCACGACAACATTCCGTCGGTGCGACAGGGAGGTGCCGAGGCGCTGGCCAACGCCGTCCGCGCCTACGGGGAACAGGCGCTCACGCTGGTCATGAACAGGTGAGGGCTGCGAGTGAACTCATCTGGTAGATATTATTTGATATATATATATATATATATATATATATATATATATATATATATATATATATATATATATATATATATATATATATATATATGTATATATTGTATTTGTAGTCTCGGGGGTCAATGGATGTTGTGGATTCACTTACTATGGGCTACATCAGGAACTTTACGGAGGATATCACACAATCAAGGAGATTGTTTATAAAGATTATACAGATGGCAGCAGCGTCCCTCACATTTTGCGACCCGTCTTCACCCGGCGTGTCATCTCCGCACCAATCGTGGTTGTGTTTGGTTAGTGACTACATGTGTCTGTCTGTCGTGTCATGGCTGAACTGACCCGTCTGACCTGCCGTGGCTGTGCAGTGTGTGGTTAGTGATTGCCTTTGTTTGTCTGTCGTTCCGTGACTGGCTGACGCGTCTGACCGACTGTGCCCGCGCAGGGTCCGTGAGGACCTGACGGCGCTCAAGGACGAGCCGGAGCCAAGTGGCCCCGCCGCCGCCCCTGGTGGATACGCTGAACGGAAACAGCAGCGGGACAACGACGAGCAGCTACACACCAACCAGACGGTACGCCGCCGGTCAGACTCGGTAGCGTCCGAGAGGGCTGTGCGATCGAAATTGATTAAATTACATGGCAGATCCGCCAAGTATACATTTTATCACTCGTTATTGATATGGATAAATTGCGAGATAAACGGCGGTTTGAGGCGTAAAGTAATTGGTTTAGACACGGGTGGTTCGCCTTTCGCGAGTGTGTATTCGTCGATCTCACCGTCCGCTCTGTCCCTCTTTCTCGCCCTGGGCAGATGTACTCGTGCGGCTCGCTGGCGCCCAAGATGGCCGCCGGCGGGTGCTCAGCGTGCCACCGGTTCCGCCGCCCGGTCGAGCTCTGGGAGGCGGCCGACGGCAGCGCGCGCCTGCTGGCCGAGCTGGCCGCGGCGCCCGGCTGCGGCGGCGCCGTGTCCGACACCGTGCCGCTGCTGGCCGCCGCCGCCGGCCGCCGTCACTACAGCCACCACCTGCAGCTGCTGGAGACGGTGTGCCGGGCGCTGCCGCCGCTGGCCACTGGCATTGGCAAGCGCTGCTTCAAAACGCACCTGCACCTGCTGCTAGACACCATCATGTACTCACTGGTGAGTGTGGTGGGATTGGGCTTCTGGCCAGCGCAGAAAGTGGTGGGAATGGTGTGATGGCTGGCTGTGACAAAAATTGTATGGAAACAAGAGTTTGGTGGTCAACGTAATTACTGACGAATGTGGATTGATTGAATTGGTGACTATGTCCCACCAAGCTGATATGTGATTCATGTGTGTGTGTTTTTTTTTGCGCTGGTGGACATGCTGAAGGATCGAGCACCGCGCTTGACGTTTCCCTGGCCTTTTCAGACGTGTGAGAGTCAGCTGGCGGCGGAGGCCGGCCGCTGCTGCGTGCAGCAGCTCTCCGGACTGCTGGGCCCCAACATCTTCCGCGGCCGAGTGGAAAACCACAACCCCAGGTGGACGAGAATGACGTTTTTCTTTGCATCGCTGACATTCGTATTAGGTGTGTAAATTGTATCGAAAACATATTCGGCTGACTAACTTTATCGTGCGTTTTAGAGAGAACATCAATCTCAATATAGTGTTTCAACATGTAGGAATTAAGTTGCAACCTGCGTACTCCTAACTATTCGCAAGGCTGTGTGAGCCACAATCTTTAGCACGTGTGCAGTGTGCATATCGATTGTGCTATTTGACATCATGGTAGGTCAAATAGCCAAATCAAGGTGGCTAACGTTCCTTGTTTCCCAGCGATTCAAATTAGGACGACTTTGCATGTCACGTGTCAAACGTCACCTTCCGTGTCTGTTCTGACCTCTAACGCTCTGACTTTGTTGCAGCTATTTAACAACACTCGACCGTTTTCTGCCACCGCCGCTGGCTTGAGGCGAGCCAGGGATCCGGGATGGCGAACTGCTGCGAGAATCGATGGCTTCTGCGGGGCGTCAACCAGCCAGCTACCGGTGTAACCTGCCCACTGACGGCGGAGTCAGGCGACCGAGCGCGGAGACGCCAGTTCATGACCGACGCTGGCTTACGGAGTTTGAGATGTGGCTGTATCATGTTGTCATTCCGCTTCAGGGCAAATGATGAAGGCCCGAGTCGGAACTTTGTTGTTGATTTACGTAGGATGTGTCGTGCTTTCACGAAATACATTGAATATTGATGTCAAGAACGATCGCGCAGTGAAGGTTGAATAGGATGAGGGAGCTTAACGGACTATGGAGCATTGTCTAATTTTCTCATCCACATTCCACGCTGCGGCGTTTGACTAGAGTACGGAGAGCACCGTTGGGATGAGGGGATGAAAGCTTCCCTGTTCTAATCTGGATCCTGTAAAGACGAGGTGTATTCGAATGCCTGTCAAAGACTTTTGAATTCTTTTGGGCTTGTCGATGTAAAATGAGATAACTTGAAGTCGAGTAAGATCGTATCGTTGCGAAAAAGAGATCGGAGTTCTACGTTCTCGCAAATCACATCATCGGCTACCGCTGTTAGGATCTCACATGAGACATATCTGTTGGTTTTGAGGTAAATTAAATTGCTCGCAGGCTTATTTTGCAGGAGTGGCTTTGAGGGTTGTAATATTTCTCGCGATTTCTTGTTTATGATCACTGGTTCTGATCACTCATCAGACCGGAGATCATTAGACCGTTGAATGCATGGGGAGGGGAGGGTGAGGTCATTCGAGGTCATTCGCCGGGTCGGTGACTGGCTTCGAGGGAGCTGCGAAACGGACATCACATGTTTTCACATTATCACGCATAATTTACGGTTTCTCGTTGCATGACAATTTGGAAAGCAATATTCCATTAGTATGGGAATTCCCTAACCTCAAGTTGTAATGCATTAGACGCGTTTACATAGGGTTTGTTCCAAGCTTATATCTCCGTCCGTGATGTTGCAAAAGATGCCAATGGTGCTGAACAATTTACAAAATGATCCCCTCTAAATATTTGAAGACCACTGCATCGAAATTATCGCCAAATTAACGAGCTAGAGCCTCGTCAAATATGCTATGTAAACCGGCCGATTGATCCACGGCCTGCAGCTGTGTCCTAAATATTTAGTATACGCTCTATCAATTGGTAGCATTACTCGCGGCGGTAGTGACGCAACTGTTTCGTTCAAAGAGTAGATGCTTAGGTTCACAAATATATGTTCGAGCTTGTGATTGGCTTTGTTGAGGTTTTTAGCGTTTTGAATGGTCCAAATTTGCTGTCGATATACAATACCAAACACATTTATTTGGTATACTTTTTTGAGATTTGTTGTTGATTGTCCAGGGGGTTGGTGAATATTGAGTGAATTATTGTCTGCGGGTTGCGGATTGCGGATCCGAGAAGTGGTAAGAAATGTGATTATTTGTTGAAACGAACTTTTATGTAAATACCTGACTGATGAAACATTTTTATTTTGGCTCGCCTTCTTGTTCTCGCCACTTGGAGTAGTGCCGAGAGACGGCGAGAGTGCCAACTCTTGCTTTACCGGATACGGTGCTTAATCTGAATTGCTTTATTTTTATTTTGGATTAAATTGAATATAATAGTTACATCTGAGGAACCTGGGTGGAGCCATTGTGCTTTTGTGTGCAGTTATTGTTTTTTTAAGTATGCAATCAGATGCCGAAGCACTAAGCTGAAGTAGGTGGTTGCAGGGATACCTACCAGCTACATCAACACCAGACGGCGGACATTGAGGGATAACAACATAGTTGGCGAGCTGCACCACCTAGAGTGACAATTCAACACCAGACCAAATCATCTTAAATGAAAATCTGCACTAGTCCACATACCAGACTGGAAAACATCCATACACTTCACTAATCACTATGCCAGATGCCTGTGAGACCTCTTCTGTCGAAATGTGGCACAAGTGGTTTTGCGCTGAAATTCCCTCATGATTTGTGCCAAAAACTGGGTGCCTATTTCAATTTATGCCAAAATTAAGCCACTATTAGATAAAGCACATGTGCACATCTATTGATCAAGGCTATATCAACCAGACACTAGACAGAGCATTCCAGGGCCTTGGACGCTCTCCCATGCTTGAATGTCTGAATACGTTTTTTCCCACGGAAAGCACTGTAGCATCCTACCATGAAACAAGGCTGGTGTCAGAAGTTCTGGTGCCACAAAATCGGCAGAGCGCCAGCAGTGTGTTCGAGGCTGGTAGGAGCCAGCGAGGGCCAGGCAGCAGAGCAGCACGTGCTCCAGCACATCAGCCTCTTCTTGGCACACAGTGCAGAGCGCCGCGGGACACCGCGTGTCTGGGCAGTGGGCACTGCTGGCACACCGCAGAGTGGAGACACCTGATTCGGTGCACGTACTGGAGCGAGCAGCCCCAGTGGCCCGCCCTCATCTGGTGCACCGAAATGGCGCCCTCTCGGTCCTCTCCGGGGATAGGGAGCGGCGGCGTGCTCCCGAGGAGTGGCTTGAATAGTGACTCGGACCAGTTGTCGCGCCATTGATGCGAGGCCGCACAATGAACCGCCCTGGTCGGCGAGCGGGCGTTTGAGGGCAGGGCGGTCGCTTGTTTCGCCAGGTCGTCCGCGCTTTCATTCCCCTCGATACCGCAGTGGGCAGGAACCCACTGCAGTATTACTTAACGACGCTCGGCGATGTTCAACAAGGTCTTCCATACCATACCTATCTCATTCTCCACGCCGAGGATTAAGGCCTCACCTGGGCGGCCGCTCCTCCGCTGAGTAGACTCAGGGCGGCTCGCCAATTCGAGCACGCGACGACCGGGGCGGGGACGTCTCGTCCCGAAACCTCTCCAGAGCCGCACGCAGGGCGAGTCTGCTGCTAGATTGACCAGCGTGCCGAACTGAATTCGGTGGCCGAACTGAATTTGGTCTTTCGCAAAAAAAAACTGCGGCCGCCCTGCGCCGAAAATTCAGCCGCCGCCATGCGCTGAATTCGGCGCATGCGAAGTTACGCCGGATGTGGGCCGAGCTTGTGAATGTTCCTCGAAAATGTTATCTAGAAAAATTAATGTCACAGTCATAACGAAGGAGGTGGTGTTCCGTAATTGGGGTAATAAACGAGATGTCTTGTAAGTGCACTTTCCTCCCACTAGCCTTAACTATGATGACCCACTGATGCATCTTTGTCAGAATATCAGGGAGACCAGAACGGCAATGCTGACAAAACGAGTCATGTTTCGCTAGAACAATGCTTCGGCGCATTTTTCATCGGCTGCGATGTCAAAAAAACCATTACCGAGCCTTCCAATTTATCCCAAAATAAATCTTTTGACCAGCGTTGGCATCCTTAGGTATCTATTTCTTTCTAAACCCGAAGAGAAAAACTGACTGGATAGTCGATAACGCTTCACAAAGAATAGTGACGTCTTTGACACAGTGAACACTTACCAAAACAGCATTATTCAAGACACATAAAAAGTAAGAATAAAAAGTGCTAGGACTTCACAACTTGGTGTCCCCACTTGTAAATAGTGGCAAAATATGTGACCAAAGTTTCATTACTCTGGGTCAACTGCAACTATGTTAGGCTCAAAACTATTCATTCACCCTACGTATATTGGCCCTATATCCTGGCTTATCTCCTGTCGTAAGCCGCTTGACAGTATCGCTCTCCATCTGCAGGTTATGATACCCACCGCCAATGCCTCTCGCTGATATGAAGTGTCGGCTATCTCAATGCCGCTGCCGCCACGGTCGGTGGTCCGCCCCCGCCTAGTACCGGCGGTGGTACGGCACGGGACGGTCGACCTCCCTGATCGGCCAGCTAGTGCATAGTGTGACCGTGGTGTTTTCTGTGATCGCAGGCGATGAGCTGAGACCGGTGGAGTGACCTCGATTATCACTGTGGTCTCGTAACCTCACCCCGAAGTCGGCGACGATCACCAGTGCCGCACCAACTGTCTCCACTGTGCCGAGTTCGTCCGTCCGGCAGTTGGATCTCACCACCTGCCGCGGCTGCCCTGTCTGCACTGCCGGCCCCGGCCGCCGTCGGTGGCGCTCGGCCGATTATTGATCATGGAGGGGAGTGGCGCCGGCGCCGACCGGCCGTCCGGTGCCGCTGAGCGCGACCGGCGCGGAGTCTACCTCGAGGACGTGGCCAAGGAGTTCGACAGCTGGCTCTTCTGGCGTGATGAGGCTGGCGCGGTGGGCCCTGAGCCGGCCCAACAGCCCGGGTTTCAGGTGGTGACCGCGCGCCGCGTACACCTGGCCGAGACAGCGCGACTGGCGGCGCCCGAGGCGCAGAGGGCGCCGTGTCGGATCCCGAGTCCGACCGACCAGCTGTTGGCGGAGTCCAGACAGCGATTGCGAGGATCCAGCGCCGCCGCCGCCGCCGCCAGCGTAGTGTCCGACTCGGGAATCGCGTGTGGTGCGTCTACTGCCGACGAGGCGAGTGACTTAGAGGAGGACTGGTCGGTGCAATCTGGACACGAGATGGGTAACAAAATGGGCACGGCTACGCCTGAGCGGCGTAAGACGCGTATCATGGCGATCAAAGACGCGGGGAGAAAGAAACGCCTGGGTGGCTCGTCGTCGTCCAGTGCAGAGATTTTGGACACAGTGCCGCCGCGAACTGAGCAGCCGGTGGCGCCAGCCGACCGCGCCGACGTGCCGGAGCGGGTGGCGCGGTTCCCCCGACCGGGGCCGGACTCGCCTGTTAAGGCCCCGCCTCACCAGGCGAGTGCACAGCCCCAGCCTGTGCCGCAGCAGCCGCAGCCGCAGCAACCTCAGCCACAGCAGCCGCCCGCTGAAGCTACCAACTCGTTTGTCACGGATTCATGGAAACAGGTGAGCTTTCAGAACTTTATTGTTTTGCTCAGCTGTTGTGTTTGAGCCACTGGAGACTCGCTTTGTTCGGCTCTGTTTCGGCTTTCCATTCATTTGCCCAGGCAGGTCAGATAAGACTCAACGTTTAAATCCAGTGCAAACTTGTTCGTCAGCCGGTGCTGGGGACTGAAAATCGGTGATTAGGTATAAGTACATAATGATGCAGCGAGCTGACCTACATGACCTTTCGCCAGACCTAACAATCGTGTACGACCCCGGGGAATGGAAGATGTATGTTTGTTTTCCTACCCGGCCTTGGTTGGCCTAGAGCTACGAGGAAAAGAGTTTTGTTCAGCACAAAACAAAGCGTATTGTGTCCATTAATAATCATTTGGCCTCAAAGGTTATCAATGAACGATTCTTCATTAGGAAGTACCAGGCTTCATTTAGGTACTGACCAAAGGCAGACTTTTATCCGACAGATCCGTAACGACTACTGCGGTGTGGTGCGGTGATCGCTTTGGTCATCTGCTCCGGTGTGGTGTGCTGGCGCTATCCAGTGACTCCCGTTGTGCTGTGGTTTGTTGATGCTATTCAGTGACACCCGCTGTGCTGTGGTTTGCTGATGCTATTCAGTGACGCCCGCTGTGCCGTGGTTTGTTGATGCTATCCAGTGACACCCGCTGTGCTGTGGTTTGTTGATGCTATTCAGTGACTCCCGCTGTTGTGTGATGTGGTAATGCTATCTAGCGACGCCCGCTGTGCCGTGTTTTATGCTTTTTAGTGACGCCCGCTGTGCTGTGGTTTGTTGATGCTATCCAGTGACGCCCGCTGTGCTGTGGTTTGTTGATGCTATTCAGTGACTCCCGCTGTTGTGTGATGTGGTAATGCTATCTAGCGACGCCCGCTGTGCCGTGTTTTATGCTTTTTAGTGACGCCCGCTGTGCTGTGGTTTGTTGATGCTATCCAGTGACTCCCGTTGTGCTGTGGTTTGTTGATGCTATTCAGTGACGCCCGTTGTGCCGTGGTTTGCTGATGCTATTCAGTGACACCCGCTGTGGTGTGATGTGGTAATGCTATCCAGTGACGCCCGTTGTGCCGTGGTTTGTTGATGCTATTCAGTGACGCCCGCTGTGTCGTGGTTTGCTGATGCTATCCAGTGACGCCCGCTGTGCCGTGGTTTGTTGATGCTATTCAGTGACGCCCGTTGTGCCGTGGTTTGTTGATGCTATCCAGTGACGCCCGTTGTGCTGTGGTTTGCTGATGCTATTCAGTGACGCCCGCTGTGCTGTGGTTTGGTAATGCTATCCAGTGACGCCCGCTGTGCTGTGGATTGCTGATGCTCTACACTGACACCCGCTGTGCCGTGGTTTGTTGATGCTATTCAGTGACGCCCGCTGTGCCGTGGTTTGTTGATGCTATTCAGTGACGCCCGCTGTGGTGTGATGTGGTAATGCTATTCAGTGACACCCGTTGTGCTGTGGTTCGGTAATGCTATTCAGTGACGCCCGCTGTGCTGTGGTTTGTTGATGCTATTCAGTGACGCCCGTTGTGCTCCGCTCCCACCAGGTGCGTCGGCTGCAGGAGGGCTGTGACGCCGCCGCCGGGGTCGCCTCTGACGAGAGCTCCGGCTCGTTCACGGACCCTCTGAGCTCGTCGCGGGCCGGCGCGCGGTCGGGGACCTCCAACACGATGCGCCAGGACGCCGACCCGGACACGGCCACACTGACGGACGCTCTGGTAGCTGCCGAGCTGCCCATGGACGACACACCAGTGCGGCGCCATGACGAGCCACTCCACCCGGACTCGATCGAACTCAGTGTGGACGAGCGGTTCAGTGTGGACCTGACCCGCTCCTGCGAGCCCTCGATGCTGCAAAGTCTGCTGAGCGACGCAACTCCGGTGGCCGAGGACAGGGCGCGCTCGTTCTCACAGGCGGATGTGAATGAAGGGGGGTCCCCTCGGCCCTCGACACGGCCGACCTTCACGGTCACCAAGCACCGTAAGGTGGACCTGGGCGGACGACTGAGCCAGACGGCTCCCGGCCTGGAGCACACCACGTCGGAGCACTGCCTGCCAGGTCAGTCCGCCGGCTTCGGCACGAGGGGTGGGGTATTGTTCCCCGATGTCTCGCTCGACACTGTTATGGTCTGCCAGCTTCCGTTGTGTTTTCCAATGTCAGGCTGGTAGTGGTGCACCGCCTCGCACTGCCCCTGTCAGGTAGGAGCCCTGGGTCGGGTGTGTTGCTGAACATCGTCGGTTAACAGCATATTCGCGGATGGTCGGTGAAAGGAAAGGTGAATTATGGATGCCTCCAAGTGAGATATGTAGGCATTAACAACGCATTAATCAGCATGATATTACAGACCAATGAAAAGTTCATGAACGCTGAATCTTACCATTTAATTAATGCTAAAACACCATCCTAAAGGAAACTTTATTCGCTGGTGTTGGCTCGGCCATTGCTGACGTCTGGTCGACATTCGTTTACGTTTAAAAGTATCATGGAAAACTGGGTCTTTATCGCAGTTCGTCTATGGTATACCTCTGCAGCCGCATATTAGATGTTGTTCAATATAGAGGTAGAGGTAATGTATGTCTACGAACTGCAGTAGCAGTTTATAAACAAATAGTTCCGTTTTTATTCGTGCATAGAACCAGTCTATTTTTGCACCAAATCAGAGCGTGGTGGCGGTAGTAAATCAGTCAGTTCATCACTGACCGAACTGGCCAGTTGGCGTCACGTCGGACATTTCCAAGCCTCATCAGGCCCGGATTCTTTCATACCACGAGCAGACAAATATGGCAAACCGGTCGCCGGAGTGCGCCATTTTGACTGCAGCCTAGCAGTCGATATAAAGCGGCTCGCCCGCTGGCGGCGCCATGCACAGTTGGGCCCAGCTGTGGCCGGGAGGCGGGCATGCAGTGGCTGGTTGTGTTGACGGCCGCGCTGGCGGTCGGCGGCGCTCAGCCGCCCCCCGCCGAGCCGGTGTACGCCGGCCTGACGCGCGATCAGGTGATTGTGGCGTTGAAGGCCGCCTTCGCCACGCTCTCGGCCGAGGAGCGTGCCGTGCCATCGGTGGCTCAGGTGGCCGCCGGTCCGGAGATCGGGCCAGACGCGGGGCCCGGCGCGGCGGAGGTCCCGGCCGCGGCTGCGGCTCCCTCCGAGACAGCTAACCCGGTGGAGCAGTCAGGTGAGGAGAATGTAGCCGCCACGGCGCCCTCTGAACCGGTAGCTGAAGCTCAGCCGCCCTCTGGACCGCCCACTGAAGCCTCTTCGCCCTCCGGGCCGGCTATCGAAGGTCAGCCGCCACCCGTACCAGCCACGCTAGCCGAAACACCGGTCGAGCCTGCCCCTCCAGTCGAAACGCCGGCCGGACCACCGACACCTCCGGAGCCGCAGCAGGCAACCGTAGCAGAGGTGCCCGAACCACCGCCAAACGAGGCTTCTTCGACTTCGACAGAAACGCCCACAGCATCATCTGCAGAGCCTCAACCTGAAGTGTCTACCGAAATTACAACCGAATCTTATACCGCGTCATCCGAATCAACGGCTACCGAATTATCAACTGAAGCTTCGGTAGGACAGTCGACAGAAACACCATTGGGGCCACCGAAATCAGGTCCCACACGTAGGCGGAAAGTTAAAAGGAGAAAATTGAGGAGGCGTCCTTCAGCTCCGTCGACGGAATCTCCCAAAGAGACGGTACCAGAGACAGCGTCGTCCCCGGAGCCCCCAGCCGAGGTACCGGGAGGGCAGTCCGAACCGGACCCCGTGCCGCCGACCGGAGCCGACGACACTGCGCCCAGTCGAGCGCCCATCGTCGTGCCTGAGGAGTACTACCCCAGCACCTTCAGCCACCCGTTTCCGCCGGGTTTCTTCAGTCTCTACAAGATCCCAAATGAGAGCGAAGCACCGAGCGCTGGCTCTGTGTAGCCGGGAGAACAGGACGATCAGAGAACGCTGCTGGGTCCCCGCCGATCATCTGTTAGCCTCCTGCCACCCGACTTTTTCATTGGGCTGTGTGCCAGACATGGTTTGAAATGTTATGTAGTTAATCAGACGTTGAAGTGACGGTCAAGTGATTTATGATTTCTGGATTTCTGTGACCGGCATGTTGTATCCGCGAGTGTTGTGCCAGTTGTGTACTAATCGTTAAGTATTCGGGATGCCTCAGATAGTCCGAGGTGCCCTGTTGTGTTGATACATTCACTTCATCACCACTTGTGATGAACCCTATGTATGAAGCTTGTGGATTCATTCACATTTGTGGTTCGGTTTTGTATTCGTGACATGGTTATGCTGTAAATAACGGAATAATAAATATTTCCTCGTTGAATCGTCTATGAAAGAATGGCTAATGAAGCTTTGAATCATTTAATTTAAGTCTTATTTCGAGCGAGCGTGAAACGTGAAGCGAGTTTCTTCCATGCTACGGAAAATATGACGTGAGCGGCCTAGTCTTTCCCGGTCTCACACCCGTTTGGCAAACCGTCTACTCTGTTAGGGTCTGTTCCAGTCGCACTTCCTAACACCTCTAAACTCCTCCAAGATTGCTTCCCTGTTCCAGTGGCAGCTCTAGCCCCTATAAAGCCAAGGAGGGCCCTGCTCCAACCTTCTCTATCTTGCTCTTGGAGGAGTTTAGAGGTGTTAGGAATTGCGACTGGAACAGACCCTTAGACAGCCCCGTCTTTTCTCCCCCAAGATCGACTATTCCTAATGCATCTGGTTGATGGGCACGGTACATGCCACGTGCCAAATCAGAGATTGTCGGCATTGTTCGGCTTACAATAACACCGCAATGGCTGGACCGATTGCGCTAAAGCAGCCTATCATTGGGCACCCAACAAGCGATGCATTTTCCTGCGCCACGGATGGGGTGCTGCTGAAACGGCCTGTGCACGTGGGCACGTGCAATAGCCTTTTCTTCATCTCAAGAACGGCAGGGCCAACGGGGCCCAATGTCGATGTTAAATGAGTTTGCGAAATACGTAGATCCATGGAGTCCCTAGGCAATCTGCGAAGTCCCAAGTGGCTCCTCGGACGAACATCAAGCCTAGTATATTCGCGGATAAACAGACGGGGATAAACAGCGGATGAACAATACTCTTCAGGATAACCGCGATCTCCCCGAAGCAGGATAACCGCGAACTCTTCAACGCTAAGATCCGCGAATCACCAGGGAATCCGCGGAGCACCAATTCATTCTAGTGAGCTCGCGAATTTCCTATGCGTTTCATGAACATATCTCGTGCCTATGGAATGCATGGCATAGTTGGTAGGAATGGTAGGTCACATCCGACTTTATATCCGGAGGGTTGGTTCGACGGGAAGTTAACAGCTGAAACGATTCAAATCGGCCTATCGCTCGACTTTTACACGTTTTCAGATCGAACTGTCTTGGGCGAAGGCAAATATTAGAAACAAAGGTACGTATGTGGCATACATATAGTTCACATTGAGTAGACAATCACTTTTAGCAACTTTTATTGTGCATCTCAAGCAGTGCCGTTTAGTAGTCAACGTTGCTGTGTTTCGAAAAAAAAAAACAGCAAAAAGGTGTCAATCCGGTCCAGTTTGTGCTCAGGCCCTGATAGCGCTGTTTGGATGCGTATGTTGGGGGGGGGGGGGGAGAGGGAGATGCATGCGCTTTTATGACGTGCAGTAGAATTCTGTGACGTCTTGAGGCCGTCTAGAGGTGGTGACCTCATAATGCTAACCTTTGCCGGCCGTCGGCCGAGTAGAGGGGGGGGGGGGCGGATCGCCCGCCTTGCGTTTTTTTTTCGCGATTTTTCCGAACATAGGTACATAGTAGAGATAGAGGGCTGAAATCTGGCGCCTCCTTTAATTTAAGTTGAATCTTGTAAAACCAACCGCATTTTCAGGTCAGGTTACTGACCTATGACGTTGTAAGTGAGCCTCTGCACGGTCCTAAAATGCCGCGACTTCGCAACGCCCTCGGTACCAGAGGAACTTTCACAGGGACATGAAACTTACAGAACTTGGTTTCCTTCAAAGGCCTCACAGCTCGTTTATCTAAGATTTTTCCTAGGGGTCACCCGAGGTCAGGCTGGTCACGTGACCTCGCCGTTATGTCAATGGGGAAATATGGAGACTGTTATTTTTGTGCCGGAAATTATCTAAAACCACCTAAATCACATGGAATCGTGATTTCATGCGCTCCTTGCAAGGTCCTTTGTTTTCGAAGATGTATACATTTGTACATGGTCGCGTGCTTAGCTTGTCATCGAGTGCGTTTCTTGTTACGCAACGAACGGTTCTATTGGAAGTAGGGCGGCATTCCAGGACATTGCGCATTCATAGCTAACTTTTTTAATTTCCAAAAACACGAAAGCAATGATGAGTCACCCCTTCACGCTTCACGTTTGAGCAGCGCGATGGTTCCGGAGCGTTCGTGAGTAGCGTGCTGCTCAGACCGTCAGGACATGCTGCGGACGGCGGGGAACGGTACGGCCGGATCCGGGCCCGCCACTGGCGCTCACAACTACCCGGATCTAGCTCCATATCGGGTCGTCCCGGCCGGCCGCCGCCATCGCCACTGCCCAGCACATTTTTCACATTGTTACTGCTTCAGCGGCGCGGCGGAGTCGCCGATCGACGATATCAAAACTCAGATTTGATCTTTGTGTTGGCTGATTTGGAGCCCGCTAGGCGTGTGACAGCCGTGGCCAGCGAGTCACCGTGCCGTACCGTTCGCGCCGGTGTCTGGCTTTCGTCGTGTATGCTCGAGGACCTGTCCTGACGGATGCCATATAAGGTCTGCCGGCACCGACAGGTCCGGTAAACCAACTGGTGGGACCAGCGTCCGGCCGGTGGTTTTTGTGCCCAACGATTAGTCGCAAACAAACAAGTGACAGCTGAATCCTTTTCTGATGTTAGTCACAGAACTTACTTTTTGAGACGCGGTGGTCGTGGGCGCCAGGTGCCCATGACCACCGATTAGAGAGGCAGTCACTTGACGTCGGTGAACGCGTGCCTACGAAAGGTGAGCGCTAATACAATGATTGGTTAGGTATTCAATGTCAACATAAGAATTGTAAACTTAACTGCTTAGTGCTTGCTTCCTCCATCTCTACTGAATATCTCAGCGGGGTGCTGGCTAATATGAAACGACTGAGGTATTGCGGCAGAGAAGGTCTTTTTGGAACAATTAGGCAATTCAATGCAACTAGCTGCCGCATTAGGAAAAAATGGCCGTGTAGAGCTCTTTTTATGCGTAGGTGTGTATCGTTCATTTTTTTCTTTTGCCATTGCTAGTCAGATCCAGTGACTCAGTCATAGCAAGGCCATGTAAATAATCAAAATTGTTAAAGAATGACATTTAATTTATTATCATGCGGCCCAAACAAGTCGCATTTTTTGTGGCGTCGAGCTGGGTTGTTTAATTTTCAGTCGTCACGTGATCTCAACTGAGTCATCGGACGTGCGCCTTGTTCACTGTCCAGTACCTACGTAGGACGCGAAGAGGTCAGTTATGTAATAAATAAATCGAAGCTTTTAGCCCCATAAGTAAGGTTGTCTTCATTGTAAGGCATTAACACTTACGAATCCAGAATTTGGGTCTTGGACGCTGCGGGGGAACACCCCACAAAAGTCCTCCAAATTCCACGAAAAAATCCTCGGATTTCGAATCCTTACGCACTGATGTGCAGCTTAAATCAGAATTTTCTTTAAAAATTGTTTGGTTTTCGTTCTTTTCTCAAAAACCGTAAATTTTTGTCGACGTCGGGCGCCGTGGCGGGGGAGGGGGGTTATTGGCCCCAAGTGGTTTACATTTTTATCTTTTGCTTATCAGGGCGTTTATCAGTTCAGTTAAGTTAAGTTAATTTTATTTGTTTACCTAACGGAAGCAAACAGTAAAACTCAATCAAAGATGGACGGGCGTCAATCTAAAATTGAATTGTCTATCTGAATTCAGGAAGAACACCCATCCTAGTGCTCCACTGCTCTCGGGTGACTGAGACCGGCAGCGGGGACTGAGCCTGCAGCTTGCTGAGCGACCACTCTGAACCACTGGACCAACTGGGTTCTGGACAAAGAGTGGCTCGATCCACCAGGCATCTCTTTATTTCTATGCATGTTGTATATGGTTCGTTTCACATGTCTTTCTCGTCATTGATATGGCGTTTGCTGTCTAAGTCCTTACTTGCTCATATTTTGGCGTCTGGGCCCGAAGATGCTCACTACGAAGAAGTCAGGAAGAGCTCAACAATAGCCGAATGGGCGCTTGACCTTTTGAAGATAGCCATTTGTAGCTGAAACGGCGCACGGACAGGTGAACCATGGGGATAGGTGTTAGGCAGGGTGCAACATTGCTCTTGGCGTTTGCTAAGCATGATAATTTCTAATGAAAAGGAAGATGCACTTCTCCACTTATTCGGTCGCCCTGAATCCGCTGGACTATTTCATTTAGAGTTTTTTATATAGAAATGTTGTAAGGACTAAGGAGCCTCCCACATGGAGCCCCAGTCGCAGCTGGAGAGACTCCGAACGAGGCGCTCAGGACCGGTGCCTGCCGTTTTCCCTGTGCCGTGCAGAGACCGCTATCAGTGCGAACGGCAGCTACGCTGAAGGAAACTAAGGTGCGATGTCCAGAGTTTCTTCTACATGACCGATATTAGGAGCAATACTGAAAAGTAACTGCGTCCTGTTGACTAATTTTACACTACGATAACTTGATTGGTAATCTATACAGCTCCTTGTATGTTGTCGTGTTTTCCTAGCGATCACCCGGAGTATGACCGCATTCTTCCTGCTTCCTTAGTATTGAGTGACACTTTGAAGGGTAAGCCATGGGAGCCGAATGGCCGTAGTAGCTAATATCCGCGCTTTTGTCCTGCTTCAGATGAGACGCTCTAGCTTATTTTGCTGCCACTGCCATGCTCAAAGGCTGCATTTTAACCCGCGCCATGATGGTGGTCTGAATTTTTCATGGAGTGCTAGGCCCCCGCCTAACTCGGCTCTCGAGCCACGTAAGCGACACACGGTAAGGGTGTTTGAAAGTGGATCAAAAATAATGAATTAAGTACCTCGTCATTTCACCAGAGGGCATCAAAGGTCGAATATCACCTTTGTCGACAAATTGACGCATTGCTCTGGAGGGAATAGAGCAACAGCGCCGCAGAAAAGCGCACTCGATAGCTCTTTTAACGTTCTTTCTGAAGTGCGTCCCCAGATGTGACCTTAGCTCAACGACTTAGCCTCCAGAAGGCAATAAGTCTTTAAATTGAAGTGTTCACCGAAAACATTCATTGGAAAAACATTCACGGAGAACATTTTTTCTCAGGTAACTTTTGATTCAAAATTGGCACGAAATTGATTCTGCCGACGTCGTTTTTCTCTCATCGAGTTACGTCGAACGAGTTATGAATTGAACTTTAAGTCATTTTGAAAATTTGCCTTAAGGTCAAGGTCACGACCTGGCCAGAAAAGGTCATGTTGCTTATCAGTCGACCCGTATCGTCGAGCTGAACACATACAAGATATTTTCATTGCTCTAGTATGTCTCTATCAAAAGTTATTGCAGAAAAAAACTGCTGGAGACCTTTCCTGACCTGAGCTGACCTCAGGGGCCAAATGGTGTGATGAGTGGCTATTTTCCGATCATGTGTGCCATGTTTACCTGTTACCCTATGTTTGAGAGTGTTTAGTGTGACTTTCGTCGTGATGGACAGCCTGGACAGGAGAGGTCTCAAAATTGGCCTGACCTTAGTTCACCGATGTCAAAATTCCGAGATAAGCATTATATGCATACTGCTACTCTTCTTAGTCGCTGAAGGTTTTAAAGCGATTGTTCAGTTGGTGTAGCTATGACGAACATTGTAACTTTTTCTTAGGTAAGGTTACTTTACGTGACCTGGTGACGTGACCTTGGGCGACCTAGGTCTGAAATTTTGACAACATGTGCAGAAAATATGCATTATAAGGCGAAGGAAAAGCGATTGCGCTATGCGCCCTTGTTTTTTTTTTATAGATATTCACGGAAAATATTAGGGGGAGGGGCGTAAAATCACCTTCCCCGCCAGCACGGCGTGGTTGTGCTATTGGTTTTCTACATACGCGCCGGCCGAGGGGGGGGGGGGGGGCGGGTACGACCCCTCTCGCCGTTTCGCCCCTGGTGGAGCTAGCGCGTCGCGGAAAAACGAGCGTGTGCGCCGTTACGAGACGCAGAGATTGGTACCCGATTTTAAGGTCCTAGGTCAACCGGTGACCTCTGAGGTTAGGTCAAGTGCCCCAAGGTACGGTTCAGTTTTTGGTGAATAACTTCGCAAAGAACGGCCGCAGAGCCGCGATTTTGGCAGCATCGTGTTCGGCTCGCTCAGGCGCGTCGAATGATATACTTTTTGTTCGGGTCAGGTCAACTTAGGGTGTTGACCTCAGGTCAAGGTCAGGTCAGCACCCCGCCCCCAGGTCACGAAGTTGGTCGAAAGAGGTCATGTCGCATATCATTCGATTCGGCAGGTCTTCCTGAGTCCATTGGTGGCTTTCCCGACTCGCTAGCTCAATTTGATCAGGAGTTATTGACGAAAAACTAATATGACCTTGATGACGTCATAAATGACTTTACGCAAGGTCCAAATTGCAAAAGTGACGCATCTAACCTTGCAAGGAGTGCATCAAATCACGATTCTGTGTGCTTGAGATAGTTGGAGATCGTTCCCGGCGCCAGAATAGCAGTTTTCATTTTTCCCGCATTGACTTATACCTAATGGTGAGGTCACGAAAATGACCTGACCTCATATGACCTTTAGGAGAAATCCGAGATATACAAGTTGTGAGACTCATAATGGATACTAGATCCTGCAAGTTTCATTTCCCTGTGACATCTCCTCTGGCAGTGAGGGCGCTGCGAAGTTGCGAGTATCTGAAGACCGTGCAGAGGTTCACTTATGACGTCATAGGTCAGTGACCTGACCTGACCCAAAAATGCGGTTGGTGTCAAAAGATCCGGCTTGAATCAAAGGTCAGGTATGCCAAGTTTCAGCTCTCTATCGCCAGCGTGTTCGGAGCTATCGCGAAAAACCCTATGGGGGGGGGGGCACCCGCTCCCCCCCCCTCGGCCGGCGAGGGTTAAGGCGAAATGCATGCAATCATTGATCGGGACGTTCACTTACCGCATGTCTGGTTTCTTCCCGGGTTTGCTGTTTATTTTGTTTTCAGCTAATTAAACATCAACAAGCTGTTCACATACAAGTGACGTCATCTTCCAACTTCTGTTAAAACAAACAACGAGCAGTTCGGGACGTCCATGTTCTGTTCGGGAACATGGCAAGTAGGGGGTGGTTATAACCGAAAACTTTAAACCTCCGCTAGTCCTTTTGCCCCTAATTGAGCTAGAGCCTCGCGGAAAAAACCAACGTGGCAGAGCGAAGGGTACCCGATTTTGAAGTCTCAGGTCAACCGATGACCGCTGAGGTCGCGTCGAGTGTCACAAGGTAGGGCTTTGGTTTTTGGTGAATAACCGCCAAAAATGGTCACACAGCGGCGATTTTGGCACTAGCGTTTGTTTTGGTCAGGCGCATTGATTGACATATTGTTTTTGTATGACATTTTTTGGGGGCTAGGCCAGCTTAGGTAGTGGTTTCTTTGAACAGCTACTCATGCATTTTCTGCCGTCATTTATAAATGTAGGTATAATCCTATATTCACTCCATTTACATGTTGAAGAGTTCATACCTAGGCCGGCTTAGTAGAATACTTAAAGCCACTCTAAATGCACGACGCACGTTGTGTACTTTGGTTCTTAGAGGTCCTCAGATGAGGGATTTTTGTCGGTCACTCACCGAGCCGGTCTTAACTCACGCCCCGTAAGAAAGAAGGGGGGGGGGGCGAAATGGCCCCTCTCACTATCGGTCGATATCTGCTAAGTCACCAAAGTTTTAGGACCTCTCCTGGCGTCAATTTTACACCTAGTGGCCATTTTTCCCCTATGCCATGATAGGTTGGCCACAAATCACGTCAGCGTGACGTCATGTTCTGCGATAGATGTACCTATTTTTATAGATAATTTTGCAGAATCGGAACTTATGATAAAGAGCCCAAGGCTATCCATCGCCATACCAAATTTCAGATCGATGGCCCCGTTTTTGGCAAATTTATGGCGGAAAACTACTCAAAATTGATTACCTACGTCAAATTTTTTAACTTCATTTTAGCCGTTTTAGACCACGTAGCGCACAACTAAGAAGCCCATTAGATTTCCCGTGACGAGGTGCATCGAATCGGTACCCTTTTGTGCAAAAATATCAATTAAAAAATCCCCTTTTTTGACCTGATCTTCACCAGAACGTAAGCTGACTTGGCCCCAATGGTCGCCTAACCCGCATCATTGAATTTGAAATGTAAAACTGACCATGAAACATGTGTCACACGACCCTAGTATAAATAGTTGGGTAGGGTTCATATTGTGACTGGTAGTGACCTGACCTCTGTGACCTGACCTGGTATCGGTGACCTCATTTAGCAAAATATGTATTAGACAAACATGATTTGCGATAACATGCTTTTTACCTGATGTTATATCACAATATTACATTTCTTAAAAAGCCTGTAAATGTTCGGAAATGACGTGACCCTTGACGTCAGCGGTTTCACTTGGGCCAATGAAATTGATATTTGATTCACAAGGTAGTTCCCCGGTGGAGCTATTGAACGCCGTTTGAATTTTGAAAATCGGTTGTCAACTTTTCGAGATGTTAGGGGGCCGAAAACGCCCCTTCCCCAACTTATGGCAGGGGTTCGGCAATAGCCCTGCGGGACACGGATGAACTCCGTGCCAGTGCCGCAAGTCCTGCACGCGTGCTTTTGTAACAAAGCTTAGTCCTGACTCCTAGCACATGGAAATGTATCGTCCGGAACCTTCCAAAAGGTAGGCTAAACTGAGACAATGGGCCCAGTCGTTACCGTAGCTGTTGCAAGTGGAACAACTTTGACATCCGTGATCTGGCACGTAACAGCAGACACATGCCGTGAAGGATAAAGAGTTATGCCTTTAGCATAGTTCCATGGCCGTCAGTGACTTTAATTCGGAAATGATGTAAGAAAATAGTCGCTTTGCTGAAGCTCTTATGTATTTTTGTAGGCTAAGTTTCAGCCACGAGAACCAAACCTTCAATCGCAAATATGTATGCTTTACAATTAGCATGCCACTCTCAGCACTAAAGCCAGCAGTGGTTTTGACTTGTGCCTACATAGACACCGAAAAGGCCCTTCTGATGCTCATGCTGTTTTTGTGTATGACCAGAAAGAGTGAAATACCTAGAGCTCAAAACTAGACCAACCGCGAAACACGTGGGACAACAATTGGTGTTCAAATGGAATTTCCTGGATTTTCGAGCTTAGCTGTTCCTGGATTTAAAGGTCCTGGTCACTTCGAATTTTAAGTTATTGCCGTTTTTATTTGTGCTATAGTGGGCCTTTCTGAAAGAAATTTGCACATTCTACTGTCAAGCATAATTAGCATTCAAAACATCGAATGGTTACATGTTTGGGATTGTTGTTGTCGCGGTGCAGTGGACATTGCTGGGCGGTGGTAGCGTGTCCAAGGGCAAGCTGTACGGTTTTATGTGCCATTTTTTATGTTGACTGTCCTTTTACCATGGTCACTCCCCTGTGTCCCTGCGAGTGTGCACTGTGCGAGGCTGTCAATCGGCCGATGAGTGTGACCAACTTCCTGGATGGTGGCGGCCGTCCCGGCCTTCTGGCCTGAGCCTACGTGTAAACCGGTACGGCTGGGCGCGATCCGCCGCCACCGACTGCTATCGGCCCATCTAGACGGGCGGAAAATGGGGTATAAAGCGAGCTGCCGCGCTCGGCGGCCGCATTGTCCGACCAGCCGGCCAACGAGCCGCAGCGCCACTCACCATGAGGTTTCTGCTGCTGATTGTCTGTGTGCTGCCCGTGTGCCGCGCGGCGCCCATCCTGTGCACCCTGTACGGATACAACTGTCCGACACAGCCGGCGACCACCACCGAGGCACCGACCGCTCCGCCGCCGCCCTCGCCGTCACCGGAGCCGCAGCCGCAGCCGCAGCCGGCGCAGACGCCAGCTGAGGCCTCGCTGCTGGCGCAGCAGCAGGCCTACCTGCAGCAGCTGCAGCAGTTCCAGCAGGCACAGCAGGCGCAGCAGGCACAGCAGGCGCAGCAGGCTCCGGAGCCCGCGGCGGCCGTGCCAGCGCAGCCGCCCCAGCCTGCGCCACAGCCCCAGCCTGCGCCGCAGCCTCAGCCTGCCCCGCAGCCGTCCCAGCCGGCTCCGGTGCCCCAGCAGCAGCAGCAGCAGCAGCAGCAGCAGCAGCAGCAGCAGCAGCAGCAGCAGCAGGTGCCGTTCTTGAGCCAGGAGGCCTACTTCCAGGCATTGCAAGAGCATCAAGCGCAGCTGGCACAGCAGCAGCAGGCTTATGAACTCGCCCAGCAGAAAGAGCAGCAGCAGCAGGCTGCCGAGCAGGCTGCTCAGCAGCAAGCCGCCCAACAGCAGGCCGCTCAGCAGCAGGCCGCCCAGCAGCAGGCCGCCCAGCAGCAGGCTGAACTAGCTGCCCAGCAGGCGGCGACCACGCCGCAGCCGGATGCAGCTACCCTGGCTGCCAGCAAGTTCCAGGCTGCCTTTGACGCGGCAGTAGCGGCCATCGCCGCGGCGGCCGCGCGAGGCGAGAGGTTCGACCCGGTGGCGTACGCCAAGGCGGCGTCGGCAGCGGCCGCGGCCGACCCGCCGGCGCCGCAGCTCTCGGCCGACCCATTCCAGGTGGCCGCGCAGACTCCTCTGAACGCGTACGAGCCGGCGCCGCAGAAGGCGGCCCAGTTCCAGGTGCCCGTGGCACCGACTCTGCCTCCGACTACCACCACGACCACCACCACGACCACCACGACCACCCCGGCGCCGGCGGTGGACCCGGCGGCGGCCAGTCGGTTCCTGGCGGACGCTGCGCAGCTGGCGCCCGGCGCCTACTACTACCCTGGCTACTCGCTCTACTACAACCAGCTGAGCCAGAACCCGCTCCTGTACCAGCAGGGCGCCAGCGCACCCTCGGCCCCGGAGCAGTCGCCCCCGACGGCCGGGTAGAGATGCTCGCCACACCCGGAGCACCACACCAACCTCGCTCCCGGTGACAGACACTGCCGGGAGCGACCGTGTATTATTTATCTGTTAACTGAAACAGCATAGTTTGCAATGCCTTGGCGCACCTGTATCAAGCGTGTCTTGCTGTTTATTTATGTACATGCCAGGAGTGCGTGAGATGATGGGTCTCAAGTGCCGGAGAGTTGAACTATGGATGGCGCGTTGCTGCTGGGTAGTTCAGCGGCCATCGGGCAGTGGATTGTGACCATTGCTGTGGATACGTGTACTCTCGTTTTGTGCATAACAATTATTCGCTGCAGGATGGGCATTCCACACCGTTTCGAAGCCGACAGCTTGGTTTCGGTTCGAGTGTGAACAACAGTAACGTCTGCCGCACCTGAGTGTTTGATATTGCCATCGTGATGTGAAATGGATGTTGTATGGCGATTGACACCAGTCGTTTGCTCTTTTCGATTCATCGAGGCTGTATTTTCATTCCGAATTAAATAACTACCAAAATAACATTTTGTAGGAATACCTTTAAGATTCCTGTGTCTTACCACCGCGGTCTCAATATATCAGTCACAAGAACTTTTATTGGTGTGTGGCCATGGGGTATTCATTTACTGCAGATTTATGAGCCAAGTCAGGGCACATTAAAAACGGACCTGAAGTACATTCAGTGCTCATTACAAAACCATTCTAGTGTTTTTTACTTGCTCATGTATCTGCAGTAATTATGAAGTTCATGAACATTTTAAAGACGCATGCAGAAAAGATATGCAGAAAAGATGTGTGTAATGGCCTAGCCCGCTTCAAGGCCCCCAGTTAAAAGGCACGCTCACGTGCGCTCTCATTTGCCGCTCTTTTCTGCGAACCGTTATTTATGGATATAGATGAGGATATAGATCTTGATAGATGCATAGATAGATAATTGGAGCTTAGATGGTTTTAAGCGAGTGTGGGAAGGATACAACCACTTATGAAAGCCGAGGAGATGGTAGTGTCCACGGGGCAGTCAATCTCCCCAGCTGAAGGCGCATGTCCGTCACTTCCTCATCAGCCATTCGCAATTTGCGAATTTCTGCAGACAGCTACTAAAAATGTCACTCCGCTCCCCGGCTCCTGGGATTTGTTGCGAGTAGTTGTTCACAATTTAAATAGAAAACTGATATTTTGATTTTGAAGATATAATACCAACAATTTAGTATCATGAAAATAATTGTATCCATTGTGTTTCAAATAATGCTCAGCGTGCATTGTTTTGGTCGGTGTTTTCTTTGCATGCAGTCGAACAGCGAGGGGTGCATGTGTGGCACCATTCCACCGCGTATGCCTCATGCAGTACAAGGCTCCGGCAAACAGTAACAGTCACTTTCAAGGATTATTTGGAACCGTGGTATCCGGCATAGGAAAATTTTACGGGCGCTTTTGCCTCCTCACGTCACCAGCGCTAAGCTTGCTGACTTATCGGCCTCCAAAATCAGTTCCATTGTCTTCACTTGGTAAATCCTTGAACCATCGCATGTATACACACGCCGAGACGGATACCTATTTTTACCGATGTTGCACGGAACCGTCGATAGAAAGGGCGCCATATGGTTTTTATTTCGCTGAAACGGACGTTAATTATGCGATCGTGTCATGCAGCGGCGCCATATGGCGCAGCGGAGTAGCTAACGGAGGCGCACCTCCGCGGGAGGGTCTTCACACTTCGTCAGATTGTACTGGGTCGGTGCTCTCCTGGTCCAGGGGCTCCAGTGGGGGTCCTGCAGCACTCATAATATCACCCGTCAAACCGGTCTTGCAGGCATTTTTATTTTTGTTTCGCTTGTAAAGCTCAGGGACGCGCGTCTTTCGTAGGTATAAAGCACTCGAGTCTTTGATGTGAAGACCCAGAAGTCGAGCTGCGCTCCCGATGAGGCCTCGCCTGCTGCTGTGGGTCGCCGCCCTGGCGCTGGCCGTCGGCCATGGCGCCGCCCAGTGTCCCAAGAGCGGCTGCGGCATCTGGGCTGCCACGCCGGTCGCCAGCACTCAGCCCCGCCTGTGGCGGCGCGGCCAGGGCCGGGTGACTGCCGTGCTCGCCACGAGCCAGGCCGTGCCTGACCGCCGCGCCAGGAGGCTGGAAGCGCGCCGCCGCCTGGCTGAGGCCAAGGCGGAGGCGCGCGCTGCCGAGCGGGCGGCCGAGCAGGCCGAACGGATGGCCGAGCGGCTGGCGGAGGCTGCCGAACGGGAGGCCGAGCGGCTGGCCGACGCCGCCGAGCGAGCGGCCGAGCGACGCTCACAGAGCAGGCGGCGCGCCGCGCGCGTCAGAAGCAGAACCACCGAAAAGCCGGCGCAAAGAGTGAGCAGCTGGCGGCGTCGCCTAGCCAGACGACGCGAGGCCAGGGCTCGGGCTGAAGCGGAAAAGGCTGCAGCTGCAGCCGCCGCTGCTGCCGCTGCCGCCGCGGCTGGTGCCGGTGCCGCATCAAAGCCAGAACCGACCGTGGCCTCAGGACCAGGCCAGACTGCTCCTTCAGGACCGGACCAGACTGCTCCTTCAGAAACAGATCAGACTGCTCCTTCAGGACCAGACCAGACCGCTTTTTCAGGACCAGAACAGACTGCGCCTTCAGGACCAGACCAGACTGTTCCATCAAAACCAGAACAAACCGCCCCTTCAGGACCTGAACAGAGTGCACCTTCAGGACCAGACCAGACTGCACCCTCAGGACCAGACCAGACTGCACCCTCAGGACCAGACCAGACTGCACCCTCAGGACCAGAACAGACTGCACCCTCAGGGTCAGAACAGACAGTACCTTTAGAACCAGAGCAGACTGCTCCATCAAAACCTGAACAAACTGCTCCTTCTGAACCAGAGAAGAGTGCTGCTTCAGGATCAGAGCAGACTGCCGTAGCCGAGCCAGACACTACCGCCATAAAGAAGTCAGGCCCTACCAACGTATCGGACGCCGACCCGGCCGCGGAAACGGAGCCAGACCCGGCCACCGGATCCAAACCAGACCCAGCCACCGGATCCAAGTCAGACCCGGCCGCCGGATCCAAGTCAGACGCAGCCGGAAGCTCCAAGTCGGACGCAGCCGGTAGCTCCAAGTCGGACGCAGCCGGTAGCTCCAAGTCAGACGCGGCCGGTAGCTCCAAGTCAGACGCGGCCACCGGATCCAAGTCAGACCCGGCCGGTAGCTCCAAGTCAGACGCGGCCGCAGCAACTGAGCCAGGATCTGATGCTGCTGCTGCTGACTCTTCTAAGCGCGCAGCAAAATCCCGTACTACCAAACGAGCTAAGCTCTAATATCCAAAGTGCTTTTGTGCTTCCCATGAGACTAACAAATCAATTGGTGATTTGTTCGGTGTTGTTTTTATTACCTGCTAGCTTTGTTTGCATGCAAATATTACATTTTTGTGTACAAAGTCAGTTTTTGGCAAAGCTGCTGCGGGAGGGTTTCGGAAAGAGAGCCCTGTCAAGAAACAATGCCTTGGTTTTTCTGATACACAGGTAATAAGAGGCCCTGTGTAGGGAAAGCGCTGACTGTAGAACAAGAGCGCAATGGCACGTCTGTTTTGCCATTTTTGTTTCACAGGGGCAAAAATGGCTTAGAAGTCAGGACTAAAGGGGAAATCAGCCATGCACGTACATCAATCATGTAGAAGAGAGGGATATTAAGCTCACTGTGAGGCTAGAAATGCTGAGCCTCCAAGAATATGAAGTCCTGAAAAACCATTGCCACGAAATAGCCATGTCTCATCTATGTCTGCTCAACCAAAGCTGTTATTGCACATCGCTCTGGCTGCAAAGTGCATATGCCTCCGCTGGCGCTGAGTAGCCTCTTCGGCTGTCAGGCAAGTCTCTGAAGGCCTAAAAGTCGTTAATATCCATTTTCGGTGTTGAGGATTCGGTGGGATCCGAGGACCAGCCCATTAGGTCCTGCGTTAGCAAAATGTGTTAGGGAGGGGGTTTGTGAATCTGCCAGCGACATGGGGGGGGGGGGGAGGGTAGAGCTGGTCCCCACGCTGAGCGTAACGGTCTCACAGGCTCTGGCCGACATCCTGTAGGAACTGGGCTGATCCTCTCCTACGTCCTCATGAATCCTATGGACTGCTGCTGCTGAAGACCGGTTTAAGTTGTTGAATGGTGACGAAAACTGGGTGGTTGCTTGCTCCCTGTACTACCCTGCGTGTGATGCACCGGCGCGGGTGAAACGGTATATCCCCGGCTGTTCGGTCCAAGGTGAGTCAGGCCGCCTTGCCCCGCGGCAGACATGTGCTTGGATCCGAGAGCTAGATCTATGATCTCAGTGGATCTCTCGACAAAATAGAGGGGTTGGATCTATGATCCGAGTGGATCTCTCGACAAAATTCAGGGGTTGGATCTATGATCTGAATGGATCTCTCGACAAAATTTAGGGGTCGGATCTATGATCTCTGTGGATCCAGCGGGCAAAAATTTGTGGAGGACCTATGATCTGTATGGATCTCACGACAACAGCCAATGAAACCCTTATCCTACATAATTGTACACCTTACAGTGCAATACAATTGAGAATTATCACTTGTGGACATGGTTATTGGTTAAGACCACTTGTGATCATTAGGTATCATCATTAAATTTGAATTTAAATAAACAACATTTGTACTACATTTAAAATAAACCAAGTACATGCATATTGCTACTTTTTGTGACCAATTGTAACTTTTTCATGACAGTACTGATGACAATCTTATCAACAAGCTACAGCCACTTTAATTCAAAGAACAAACAGTACACCCAGATGCAGTGGCAGCAGGGCACTGCAGATTTTCATTTTAGTCCCATTCTTTCTGCAACGCCAGTAGGGCTAATGCTAAAATGCCAAAATCTATGGGGGGCACTGTACCCTGGTGCCACCCCCCCCCCCCCCCTGTTCTGCCACCTATGGACAGATGTTAGGAAATCAAACCTGGAAGCCAAATAGGTCAGTTTTGTTAAAAATAATCCAGCAATCCACTTCTGTCAGGTATGAAATCCCAATCCAGAATGTTCATATGAGCTATTAGTATGTGCAACACAATTTCGATTTAGTAAGAATAGCAACCAACCTCTAATACTTTCCTAATAAAATTACAAGTTCAAAAATGGCATCAACTTCTTCAGATTACCTACTTTTTGCCACTTTTGGCGTCGTGCCACACGTGTGGTGCCATGCTGTGCTTTTGTTATGAGAGAGCCTTCCAAAAAAAGACAAACGAAATTCACAGCTCACGTTTTGGTAATATGGTTTTATTACGTCATTATCGTTTGACCAATGAAAAATATTAATTTGACCAAGCCCGTAATGATTCCAAAAGATTCCCCGTAATAGGCCCTTTTAGTTTTAACTAATGACGTAAGATATTGTTATTCTTTTGAAAAATGAATAAAATAAAGATGCAAGGCGCACACCGCTCAGGGCCATATAATACTGTTTCAGCTTACGTTTACGTCATTAAATTCAACGCTACAAAGATGATATTCACAAACAATCGTATCGTAAAATTATGTGAGGCAGAAAAAATGAACATTCTTTAAAAAAAGCTCCAGACTTTTGAACTTCCAGTTTGATTTTTTTATTTATTTTCATTATACTCGAAGGTAGAACGCCTAGCTCATTTGTTATTTGAAATGACGTCACGAGTTCAATTTAGATACTGAATATTCATTTTACGGTAAATATCCAAGGCCACTACAATTGATATTTCGCTTCCCATCGCTTCCGCAGGCTGTTGAATATTTTTATACTTTTGTTTAGATCTCAGTTTATTTTATCAAATATTTCTTTCAATAGATTGAAATACCTTTACCTAACCAAGCCACATGTGTCAGTATCATCTTTTATTGTTTATCAATCAATTGTGGTAGCTGGAAACTGGAAAGCCTCATGGTTGTCTAATGCAAGATCAATGAGATTGTCTTATCAATATCATTATGTAGATTCTACCATGAATTGTGATGTGGTAGGTACCTAGTTATGTATTGTTCATTAGTCATTACTTTGACTTACCTCTATGTTAATTGTGAATGCAAACTTTTCTGTTGGTATGTGAACTGTGAACAATCTTCATGTCACTCAATTCTCTTAAGTTGTGACCATCATGACTCATGAGCCTCCTTTATTTTGTATTCTGTATAATGTAACTGGATGCCTTTACTAATATGGTCTTTGTATAAGATTGTTTGTTTCTAACCATACTTTGGTATTCATAACTTCTTATGAAAGAAAGTTGTTAACATTTTGAGCACCTATGAGCTATGATCCCAATGGATCTCACGACAAAATTGGGGAGCCAGATCTATGATCCGAGTGGATCTAGCGACAAAATTGAAGGGTCAGATCTATGATCCCAGTAGATCTTTCGACAAAATTGAGGGGTTGGATCTATGATCTGAATGGATCTCGGATCGGGATCCATGGGATCGGATCTCAGATCCATTTTTCCGGATCCAAGCACATGTCTGCCCCGCGGTATATGACTATAACCTTGAGGGTGGGTGATACCCGTTCTATCACTGCTGACTCAGCTTCGGGACAGCTGCAAATGGTACACTCGATTCACAGCCAGGAGAAGACACAATAGCAGTTAACGCTTAGCTCAGCAGCAGAGAAACAATTCAGACTAGTGGTGCCAGTTTCGGAAAATGTATGTGCAGTGTCCGTCCATTGTCCGGTATTTTCGTCCACTGTCCGTCCAAAAATTCCGAGCCAGCCATTTGTCCAAAGATCTCCGAAAACTACGCAATAATCTACACGCAACACGGTTATTTAATTTGCTTTCAATGTACTAGTTATTTCTAGTCCACGAGTGTATCATGTCGATAGCTGAGTTTTTTATTCGCCAACCAATGCTCTACACGATAACTTTGTAAAAATGCTGAAGTGTAGCAAGTTCCAATGCTTTCTAAAGCTTGCTCCAAACAACTTCCGAATTGGACATTGGACAAAATGAAATTCCGAAGGTCCAATTTACGATTGGCACCATTAATTTATACATCGTCGGAGTTGTATTCATCTTTCCGTGCTTTTTTGTCTTGGTGCTGGATAGAGACAGAGGTTACTCTGTAGCATAAAGAAAACCTCTAACCTCTTAAAGCTTTCAGACAGACATTAAAAGCCGCCTAGACGGCCAGGTAGATGTGGGGAGCGTCTGCATCTAACCGCAAAGGAGGTCACAAACAGTACGGCACGACGCATACAGATCAATATCGCAAACAGAGTTGCCTGAAACATTTCATGGAGCAAGCACGACAGTTATAACAATGTACTTTATTACAATACCATGAAAAGGTACCCACAAGGAAGTCCCCGTCGTGTCTCTGGCGGAAAACTCAATTATCCTCGTTACATCAGTCATTCTTTACAATCCCAAGCGCGCTAATACACCTACTTTTTATTGATGATAATCTGAATAAGATATTGAACCCATGATATGAGCAAGATTCCTTTGACATCGTGCCATGCCATTGACGTCGTTTGACATCGACCATGATTTCCTTTGGCAATAATACCATAAGCTCCTTATCCATGCAGGAATAAAATTGTCCTAGGTGTGCCCAACGGTAGAAATCGGCCAAGTTATATTGTAGCCTTTTTCGGCTAAATAGATACTTTGACTTTGACTTTAACTTTTTAGGTTCATGTGATAGTTAGGTACGTTTAACAACGCGTGTTGATGAAACACTGGTGGAGAAAACGGAATGGAGTATTTTGATAACAGTTTGTTGTTTAAAAAGGTCGAATCTGAAGAATCGCGAATATTTTCTGCTGCGATTTTGTATCTCATTAAATGCATCTGTTTCGGCACTTCAATTAATTTTAGGAGCCGGGCAAGCTTGAAATGGTTAACTTATGGTTGTCTGAGTCTGTCTGACCTTTGAAATAACATTTAAACAAATAAGCGTTATGTGATTCTTTCTAACGGGTTTCGAAAATTTGCATTTTAGCTATGGGGGTCTTAGAGCCGAGTGAGAGGAGGGGTGCGAACCGTTTGCCGCAGATTATGTCGTCCCAACTCCTTGTCAGCTGTTCTGTATTCCTGCGCTACACATTGGACGGGATACTGATTGAGTTTTCTCACGACACGATGATGATCAAAGCTGGAAGGCGGCGCTTCCTCGTTTGCATTACGCAGTTGTATGTGGAGCAGTTACGTAACGCATCCGCTTCAGGAATTAGAAACCCGTCACAGGGAAGTTTTAGTGCTCGGTCTCCAAGTTGGACTTGCGTGAGCCTAGGGAAGAATGTGTCCTTTCAGCATGGTTGGTGCCTGTTTTGAAGCTTGATTTTTGGGTACGTTGACCCGAAACTCGAAACAGTCTCTTTGTTATGGATAGCGTTTTATCGTTAATGCACTCACAAAGGCACACTCGCCCCCTTCCCCTTCCGTGCAGTTAGCGTTCTGCTCAGACTATCGCCTCTGCAAGGGAGTTTACACAATCGAGAAACCACATCACGCATTTTGACTGTTTTTTACCATCTGCTACACAATGCTAGATCACCACCAGTAACTTCGATGCTGAAGATTCGATGGTTCCCAGGCTCATTGGCCGGTCCAGAATGGCATTGTTGGCGTTGTGGAACGCTGTCCACAATCTGAGTTCTTCATTTTTTCAAGAACTGCTCGAACAAAGCTTTTCAACATGTTAAGTATTTTTAAGTTAAGCAAACTTTCTAAACAAAAAAGTCTTCTTTCTTAGTGAGGAAAATGAGAAAATCTAGTCAAATGTGGTCGCTTCGGGAGGGGCAAATATCCCAAACGTCCCTTCGCCCATTTGCACCGCCTGTGCGCGAGTTTTCTTTCGGAGGTTAATTGAATGTTCGAGTCAGCTTAGGGTCGATCAAATGTAGTTTTTGTTCCAACATCATAACATTTCATTTAACAAGGAGGCATAGCTGAGAAACGTACAGCATAATGCTGCTTACACTAAAACATGCTAGCAGTGCAACATAGCAACTCCAACAAACAGCATAATGCTGCTCAAGCTTCAACATAATATAAGTGCAACATAGCAACAGCAACAACCTAAAGCGTATTCTCGCCCTTAATGCCCTGAAAGTGATGTTTTTTCAGACACTCCATTTATAGACACTCACGGGATTTAACGGAGAATCCACCGCAAGGCCACTGTTTTGAAAGTATTTCCACGTGTGGAAAGTGGATCCCCTTTGCGCATGAAACTACCGAAGAATTGCAAATAGCCCGAATTTGGTAAAGGTACATGGTCATGATTGAGGTTATCTGTCATTCAAGTAATTCCCTTGAGTTGGACTTCCCGCGGTGGCGACGACCTTTCTCGTGTGTTTTTGTGCAAACGTCCTTTGTGTGCGTGTCTGTCTGACTGTGAGACTGAGTGCTACGTCATGGTGCGGCACCTCTATGGCCCGGCGGCGCAGCTCAAGCACCTACCTTCTACGTGCGGTCCGTCGCGAACCGGTCCGCCGCCTATCGGTGCGGAAAAAACACGCCCCAGGAAAGTGGGGTATAAAACGGCAGTGGCGGCCCACCGTCGGCCATTGTTCTGTTAGTGGCTCGGCGCCAGCATCATGAGGACCTTGCTGGTGCTGTCCGCCGCGTTCGCGGTGTCAGTGGCAGCGACTTCACTGCACTGCGCCTTTGTTATCAACGGGGACTGCGTCAGTTCGGCGCGCTCGCGGGTGCCTCGGCAGGCGGTGCCACCTCCGACCAACCAGCAGTTTCAGGCGTGGCTGGCCGCTGCCCAGCTGAGCGGCTTCCCTGGTGGTCTGCCGGCGCTGCCGGCTGCTCCGGCTCAGCCGGCCGCTGTCACAACAGCCAAGCCGACGGTGGCCCCGCCGCCGCCGCAGCCGGCCGCTGCCCTGCCGCAGCAGCCGCCCGCCTTCTTTTCGCCGCAGTTTTTCGCGCAGCAGCTCGCCGCCCTCGGCCAGAGGAGTGCTCTGCCCCAGCCGGCAGCCCCGGTAGCCCCTGTGCCCGTCCAGCCGACGCCCGCGCCCACTCCGGCTCCGACCCCGGCTCCGGCCGCACCGGCTCCGGCCCAGCTGCCAGCCTTCCCGGGCCTGTTCCCGGGCCTCTCTCAAGGAGGCTTGGCTCCGAATGCCTTCCAGGGTCTGCAGCAGCTGTTTCCGGCCTTGGCGGGTGCCCTGCCTGCCTCGTTAGCTGCCGCGGCCACGACCACCACGCCGCCGCCAACGACCACCCAGTCGCTCCTGGACGCCGAGGCCCGTGCCAACCTCGTGCTCACTCCGGACGAGGCCTTCCAGGCGGCCTACAACGCTGAGATCGCGGCCGAGCCGGCCACGGCGGCCTCCATCCGCTCAGCGGTGGTGCAGGCCGCTCCGAGCACCGTCACCAAGCCGCCGCCCACCGTGCCGCCGACGACCACCACGCCGGCGCCGCCGCCTTCCGGACCCACCGCCTTCCCAGCGTCGGCGTTCGGCGACTGGCTGAAGCAGGGCGCGCAGACGGGCATCTGGGGACCGTGGCCGCCGAGCACGACCCCGGAGCCGCCGGTGGTCACTACCCCGGCGCCCAGCCCGAGCCCGAGCCCGGCTCCGGCGGCGGCCGCCCCTCAGCAGCCCGCGGCACCCGCACCCGATCAGGCGTACCAGCTGGCGGCGCAGCAGGCCTACCAGCTAGCCGCCGCGCAGGCCTATCAGCAGCAGCAGCTGGCCGCGTACCAGCAGGCCTACCAGCAGCGGTTGGCCGCGCAGCGCCCAGCTACCACCGCCGCGCCAACGACTGCCGCACCAACGACCGCTGCGCCAACCACCGCCGCACCGACAACAGCCGCACCCGCCGCGCAGCCGGCCAACGCGCAGGCTCTCCAGCTGGCCTATCAGCAGGCGTACCAGCAGCAGCTGGCAGCCCACCAGCGCGCTCAGCTGGCCTCGGCTCAGCCAGCGGCCACAGCACAGCAGGCGCCGGCTGCACAGCAGGCCGCGCAGCCGGCCGCGCAGGCTCCGCAGCTGACCGCTCAGCAGGAGGCATACCAGCGCGCCTACCAGCAGCAGCTGGCCGCCCAGCAGCAGGCGTACCAGCAGAAACTGGCGGCCCAGCTCGCCACCTCGAAGGAGGCGCCTCAAGCTCAGCAGCAGCTGGGCACGCAGCAGATCAACCAGCTGACAAATCAGCCGGCAGCTCAGCAGCAGCAGACTCAGACCCAGCAGACTCAGACTCAGCAGCCGCAGCAGCAGCAGAACACTTACACCGGCTCTCAAACCGTACAGCAGCAGCAACAGCAGCAGCAGCAATCGCAGGTGCCCTCCCAGTACCAGCAGTACTACTCTCAGCAGCAGTATCAACAGCCGCAGCAGCAGCAGCAGACTCAACAGCAGGGCACGCAGCAGTATCAGTATCCAACACACAGCAACTTTTACAGCTACTAGAGTGCCGGCGGCTTCCGCCTAGTCTGTCGCTGATCTGTCCGACCAGGCGATTGTGATTGTGGTTGTATCAAAGTATGTGTGAGGATGTGTGCTTACGCATGCATGTATTTACGTGTATATGCACATGCGATACGCGGATATGAACAGGGCGGCGCCTTTGTGTGTTGTGACGTCATTATTAGCCTTGACGTCACCAGCATTCCAACGCGCCGAACTGGCTGCTGTTGACACTTATTTACGCTGGGACGCTCATAGGCTATTCCCATGGCATTTCGTTGTTTTCAGGTCATATACGTGTGTTTTTCATCAATGTCATTTATGTTGTTAATGTATTTATAAAGATGTGTGGAATAAAATCGCAGTTTTCACGATATCTCACTTTTTTACTTCTTCACAGAAATCGAGGCCCATTTGAACAATCACGCTGTTTCGAACAACGACTTCTTGCTCACTATATTTTTGTCATCTTAGCTGATGCCTGTCTGTTCTTTCTCTCCCGCCCTTTCTATTTTCTGTCTCTCCATCGCCAACCTCCTTTCCTCCTTTCTCTTTTGATTGAGTTTTCTTAGTTCACCGTTTCCACGATAGCACAATTTTCATTTGATGTAGCATGCTGTTGATTTATTATCAGCTATACCTAGATCATCTGATTTGTTCAATTAATTGCTTATGAGATATGAGATAGAGATTCGCTGCTCTACGATCCCATTACTACTGGTAGCGTAGGATCATTTGACCGTATCTTTATCAATATAGGCCATGGCCTCACCGCGGAAGCCCTCACACTGAACAGCTTGCCGAGCCGCCGCAGCCAATACACCGATACTTTCAGAGCTCGACCATAACTCTACCTGACATCTATCTCTTCTTAGCTGACCTGAGTCAGAGGAAGGTTGATTTGGTGAAGTGTATACGAAGCAGCTCAAAACGATAAAGAGTGACGCCTCCTATAGTCCTGGCTGGATCGGTTGTGTGCTTCAGCAAAGTCGGAGAATGTCTTCGGAGAACGCTGTCTTTGTTTCATTTTCCTATCACTTTTTGAAGAAAAAAATAGACCGACGAGCATTGGAAATGTCTGAATCCACCGTCGCAGCCTTCGCTGTGCAAAAGCGCAATGAAGGAATTGTGATAAAACCGTGACTTAAAATGGGAATAATGCAAGCAGTGCCGTATCACCAGCCTGGTTGATGCTACGGAGTAGCCAGAGTACGGAGTAGCCAAGGCTGTTCGCTGTTTTGTTGTAAGATATCAGCGGAGACGCATCTGAGCTTCATGGAGAGATAGGTATATGTCGGAACATAGACCTCTGTATACAGACTACAGAGGTCTATGGTCGGAATTTAAATGTTAATGTTTCTCATTGGACGTGTCTACACCCAGATGTTTGCTATGCTATGAACACACAATTCAACCAAAGGAGTTGATTCGGACGCGGTATTTCAGTGCGTTCTAGTTAGCTTCTTACACTCAGCCGCAATGTTTTGATATTATTTCTTGTAGTTACCTATCATTTAAGTGCAAGCGGGTATCACTCAAACCGAAAAGAGCATTAAAAAAGTCATCAAAACTGATTAATTTGGAGTATTTGCTGTTACCTCGTTCTTTATATTTCTCCACCATCATGTTGCTATATTTGGCTTTCATTTGAGTATCATTTTGTTATGGCGCATCTGCAATTTTTCCTATCTTTATTCCAATAATTGCCACAGTACGGTAGCTTGTGCAATGTGCATCGTATGTTCATCTCAATTGAAAAACTGCTAAATGTGTGTATGTGGTATGTCTAATATGTAGGTATGGCTCTAAGCGAAATGACAGAATTTCCCGGTTCTGTTAATTATTGTCGTCCTTGTGGTCGTACCGGTGCGTCCAACACCGGCCGCTGCTCCATATGGTCCCCTGTCCTTGTTCCAATTAATTAGCGATGCCATCAATGCGCGAACGAACAACGCATTTTCCACTTCCTGGATTCATTTGATCGTTGAAATGCTCGAGCGAGGTGGTCAGGCCACCTTGCATGACATCGGCTGTGCTTCACGCACATTTGATATAAGGCGAGGCTTGACGTGACGCACACGCACTGTGGACGGGACAGTCCGAGGAGCGGCACGTTCTGCGAGCTGGGTGTGTGGAGAGCGGCACCATGAGGCTGTGGACGGCGCCGATGGCACTGCTTCTGCTGGTAGTGGTGACGTCCGCGGTGCCGGTGCTGACGGCCTCCGTACAGCGCGACGTACTGTGCTCGGGTGTGGGCTGCTCTCAGTCGGAGGCGCCGGCCGCCTCTGATGCCTCGGAGACCATATCGACTGAGAGTGAGGTCACCTCGCCAGCGCCACTGAGCATGGCGGAAGACAATGAGCCCGACATGGAGGGTGATGAAGATGAGGACGATGATGATGATGTCGATGAAATTGAAGAGGATGCTCTTGGTGAAGATTCAGCTGAAGATACTGCTGAACACGATGAATCAGAAGTAACAATGCCTCAACAGGATTCCAGCAGTCCTGTGGTACCTCAAGACAGGCAAAGCTCGGGCGAAAGTGCACAGGTAAGCTCATTGGCAGGTGGTGAAGGAACTGGCGCTGCACATGACGCCATTCAGGATGCCGATACCGAGACGCCCGCTGAAGCTCCTACTGAGTTGACTGCCGAACAAGAGCCGATTGTACCTGGACCACCACCCGAAGTGAATGCTCCCAGCGTCCCATTCCTTTATTCACTTGCAAACGCTGCACCAGTGATGAAGGCAGATGCGCCTTTCACTGGGCTCCAGCGGGCACGACCAAGTTTCGTGGCATCGACGCCAGCTGTAGAATCGGCTGCTACAGAAGAAGTCGCTGGTCTGACTACCACCGATGTGCCCCAACTGACCGTCCCGGCTGAAGCCGCCGAACCAGAAGTGACCAGCAGGGCACCGGCTGAAGTCACCGTGGAGTCGGCTTCCGAAGAGAACGAGGAACCTGATGGTGAAGATGAGGATCCAGATGAGGACCTTGAAGCTGAAGAAGACGAAGAAGCTGAAACTGACGGCGATTCTGAGGAGTCTGAAGTTGTAGATGCTGAGGAGATGAGTACCGAGCATGACCCTTCTGCTGAGGCGTCTACCGAGGCTCCTCAGCCGAAAGACGAAGCATCTCTACTTTCAGGAGAGATTCGGGCCCTAGATGCGTTAACGAATGCCCTCGGTGAGGTTCGCGATGCCTTTTTAGGATTGAAGGACAGATTGCTCCTTTCCGAGAAATCTTCTGTTGCGGAAAACGATTTGAAAACGAAAAACTATTCGAAAACGGAAAACGGTTCGAGCACGAAAAGCAGCTCGGAAGATGATGGAGAAGAAAGCGTACAGGCGATGGAGGTGGTGGATGAAACACCTAAAAAGGAGCCAACAACCTCCGACATCATGACGACAAAGGAAGTGCAGGCCTTGGACGCGATGACCAATGCTCTGTACGCTGTCAGCGATGCGTTCAAGAGGATCAAAGACCTGGCCACTCGGACTCGGGCGGCCGAGCTCGCTCCGGCCGTCGAAGGCGTATCTTCAGCTGCATCTACCGCCAGCAGTGAATAGGCAGGCGACGCGTCTGCTGCGGACGCTGATACTGCTGCCGGCTCATCCATATAGAAAGTTGCAAACGGGGCAGATAGGAATGTCACTAAGTAGTGCAGGCGATGCCGTGTCATGTCTGGAAGTTGGTAAAAATTTTCCTCGTTGATAGGCTCACCACAACGATGTCCCACTATGTGTGTGATGCCTGGCAATATCCTTATTTTATTGTACTTTGTTACGTTTTGCGTGCGCTACTTTCTAGTGTGTCATATCATGACCATCTTGCCTCCCAGCTTTGTATTTGTGGCGTATGCGCTAATGGCATCGAAGGTGGTGAATATAAGTTTTGTGTGCTTTTCTCGCTTACCATTCTTTCGAGAACATGGTCGATCGTGATGCCGAATTTTGCACGAAACTTAAATACATCGCCAAGTTGAAGTGGTCGAATTTGGTTTTCGATGGAAAGATGCTTTAAAGTCTTATAATGGCTGAATGTTTTTCCTTGTATTTGATATCGAGTCTCCATTTAACGACGCAATAAGAGTGATATTCAGCTGGTGTAGTGACATTTGTGCTTCAAAAATGGAATCGAACACCAACTTTGTTTTTATTTTAAGCGATCGCCTTTGAAAGACTTTGCTTTTCTTTGTCAGCCTTTCTAAAGCGCTGTTATTTACGTAATTTGGCTGTCTTACACGGTCTGACCAAAATAGCCCAATGTCTTGGAAAAGCTACCGTTTGAAATAAAACGCACTTTGTGTTCAAAGAAATAAATGAAGACAACGATGAACACACGAAATGTGCCATGTCGCATATTTCGTCATTGACTAAGACCAAGGCCGAACAACAGGCTCGAGACGGAAGTGGACGCGAGAGGCGCGCGTTTTTTTCTGACTCCCTATATAGTATTCATGCCAGGACGAAGAGTCGGCATTCGTTGAAAGGAGCTGGCTGAGATGCGCCAAGAGTACACAACGCCTTCATTTTTAGATCATGTGACAAGGCAGGGAAGGTTCACCCTCGCCCGTATAGGGGGGGGGGGGCGGGGGGGTCGAACGGACCCCCTCAGTTTTTTTTTTGCGAATGACTCGCGTAAAAACCGGCCGATCACGACGAAAATTTTAGTACCCTCGAGTTAATCAATTTTACACCTTTCCTTAAACATTCACGACCCTGACCCAAATGACATTTGGCCTGTGACCTATTTCTCAAGACCATGTTTGGTCAGAATCGCGATTCGGCGTATGTCGGCTCGCATTAGCCGCGCGTTTGCAGTCTGTTCGTGGTTTTAAGCGTTCAAACATGTGATATGCTGCTGGTCCCATGCATTAGGGTGGGTGTCAGGGTCACATGAAGGTCAGGTCTCGTCATTGACCTTTGATGACCTTTGTTTAGTTTTTCGAGTTTTACATGCTTGTAGGCTAGTTTTTGGAGCTAAATTATGCTAACCACCTAGAAAATAAATAAAAAGCAGGCGAAGAATGGTGTTCCCTTGTTAAGGTACGAATCGCGTAAAAATATAAAAGTTAAGCAATATAATTTTCAACAAATGCGTAATTGCAGCATTATGTAAGTTGTTTTGAAGTTATGCATTCCTTTGGAAGAGTTTTTGGGGTAATTGCCTGCTATGCTAGTTACGTGTTTGCGTAGTGTATAAGATAAACATCTACTATTTCACAAAACCCATATGAGAAATATCTGATGTTGCACATAATAGAATAGCGGCGGCAAATAGCGTCTGACATTGCACGTACTTCCGTCTGCCGCTTCGTAATTTCACACACGCCAAGGCTGTGAAATGCTCCCTGAACGTCAAAGTGAAACAATCCGAAAATCGGAACACTCACCCCGTCTGAATACCGTGCCTGTCACGATAGATGTCCATATTTTGAGGTCCCAAGGACGACGCGGGGATTGCCTAGATGCGTCTTAGTTGCGTACAAGGAAATTGCCTTATTACATTTTTATAGTGCATTTTCCGCACTGTGCAGGAAGTTGGGTTGTGCATTCCTTCAAACGGTATGTATTGTGTGAACGCTTTTGGATGGACCTGGATGACAGGTCTGAAAGGCAAAATTATTTTACGTGGCGTTTTTCCCGAACTGGTCGACTGACTTGGAATGCCTTGTTGATTAGTAATCTGCGTGCAGTAGTGTCTCTTTATAACATTTTAGATAGACATACATGATTGATGACATGACTGATGCGCCTGTGTCCTAACAAATCATCAGCATGAGTCACCATAGTATTCTGAATCACTGGCAGTACACCGTTCACACATTTGTATGACTAATTGCTATGATTTAGTCATAGATACTTCGTGTGTGTCACTTCAAGCCGTTTTTATTCCTTTGTACTGGAGAAAGATTGCTTTTTAGCACCTCGCTCTATCCACTCAACAGTGAGCACCAAACTGACTCACTTTGTACGTTCTCTATTGAGCGTTGAACATCGACCTTCACTACATCCGAATCACGTAGTGCCCCGAGACTGGGCCTTGAAACTGCGCGCGGTTGACGCCCTCTCCACCGCCCTGGTGCAGCGGATATCTCGCGTCGGATCACACCGCTTCAAAAGTATCGTGGAAGGGATGGTTTGTAAAGGAGTTATTACAGTGAGTTGCTTATTAAACAAATGCGGGATAAAGTGAGTGTTCCCCATTTTTACACATGAGACATGACCCATATTTGAAAAGAAACTTTTACAACGTGCTACTTGCCCTTTTGTGGTGGCAAAATATGCGCGCCGTTAGGAATTCGGGCGTTGTTAAGCTGACCTACTTATATACCACAAGTAGGAATTTGACCACAAACTGCTTAGATGTCTTTCTGTATAAAGATCTTCACACCCATAGTCAGCTTTGTAATGTCTGTCTCATGTCCATTATTGAAAGGAATACTATGAATCAGAATCATCATCGTTGCTGAGGGGCTCAGGTACCATTATGCAATGCTGCCTTTGCGCGGCTGTTGAGACTCCAGCCTCCCATGAGCGTTGCATATCTGAACGTCTGTCTGTTATGCTAATTTATCTCGTTACTATCAGAGACGCCTTTCTGGCACAGGACTGCGTAAATGTTGGAGACCCCCATCCGCCTGCACATCACTGTAATTTGTGTGTTTTTTATAACTATTTATTTGTATTTACTATTTACCATGGGGAATCACGTGCAGCACACTAGCAACATGGCGGTCGGTGGCCGATGAAAGGTGTGTCAGAGCCCGTTATGTTGCTCCTCAAACTACCCCGGCGGCCGTCGCCGACCACACTGGGACCGGCGAGCCTCTGCTGTTTTCCAATACAGGTAAATGGCCCTGAGATCCGGGTTGATGGACACTATTAACGTTCGAATCCTGTCGATTGCCCATAATTTCCCGATGGGATGTTTTGGGTCAGGGCGCGTAAGATCCGGTTACAGTTCTCCGGACATCGGAAATCCACCCATTGCTAACAATCGGAATAGACTTTAAAAAATGGCATGTTTCTGACTTCATCTGATAAACAATTATTTCGTAGGAGCGTCGATGAAACGACTGTTAATTTTTCATTTTGTGTTCTTTTTCCTAACAAATCGCTTTTTATATATGTTACCTGAGAACTTTGGATGTCTCCCTTCGGCAATATTTTTAGATTATATCAGGCACCAATCCACCAATCATTTAGAGTCCTAGACATATTCGTACGTATATTAACACTTTGGTGGGATAGCATCACATACCCCGCCGAACCTCAACAACGTGGTCCAGTCCTCAAGAATAGCCAGAAGCCTCATACCTTCACACCAGAACCGTAACGACCCAGGTCAATGATGGGCATGGCACAGCATTAGTGAAAGAGTGAACATTGAACAATCGGACACATGTTAACGATTGAAATGTATTCAGTCATTGAAAGAACATGATAAATATTTGTCAGGTCTGTGTATAACAGTCAACAGTGAGAGAAGTCGCAGAGTCTCAATGAGGAAAATGTCCGCTGACCCATCCGGAGCCACCCTCGGCCGGAGAGCGGACTCTCTAACTAGATCTGTTGGCTGAGGGAGGCGTAGTAGGCCAGCGCGGCCGGATGGTACTGCAGGCCCAGGTGGTGCGGATAGTAGCCGCCGGGGAAGCTGGGGGGTACGGCCAGCGACGGCTCGGCCTCTGTCGACGGCTCGGGGGCCGGAGTCGGAGCAGGAGTCGGTGCCGGCGTTGGTGCCGGTGTCGGTGCTGGCGTTGGCGGCGGCGGCGGCGGCGGCAGCGTCTTGCGCGGAGAGTCGACCGGCACAACCGAGGCCACGGGCACGCTGGCGGCCACCGGCTCCAGGGCGGCCAGCTCCTCGGCGCCTATGATGGTCCGGGCATCCGAGGGCTCCGCCTGCTGCTGCTGCTGCTGCTGCTGCTCCTGCTGCCACTGCAAGAACAGCTGGAACTGCTGCAGCAGATACGGATCCTGCAGCTGTTGCAGCAGCTGTGTCTGTTGAAGCTGAGCTTCTGGGTTCTGCTCTTGCTGTTGTTGCTGCTGCTGCTGCTCTTGTTGTTGCTGCTGTTGCTGTTGCTGCTGCTGCTGTTGTTGCTGCTGTTCCAGAAGCTGTTGTTGCTGCTGTTCCAGTAGCTGCTGTTGCTGCTGCTGCTGCAGCAATTCTTGCTGTTGTTGTTGTTGCTGCTGCTGTTGCTGCTGCTGTTGCTGTTGCTGCTGTTGCTGCTGTTCTGGCTGTGGCTGCTGTGGCAGCTGCAGCCACTGTTGCAGCTGCTGTTTCACTGCTTTCCGTGCACTGGGGGTGTCAGAGCTCTTGGCGGCGGCTGCAGCTGCCTGCACGGCCTCGTCGAAGGCGGCCTTGAAGCGGGCCTTGGCGGCTGCCACCTCAGGCGAGTCGGTGGTGGTCGGCGCCGCGGTGGTCGTCGTCGGGGCGGCGGTCGGAGCCGGTGCGAACGGATTGGCAGCGCCGGCCGCCGGCTGCTGACCGAACTGCTGAGCGGCCACGATAGCGGCCAGAGGCGCGCCCACCGGCTCCTGGGGCGGCTCCGGCGCGGCGGACGGCTCCGCCGCCGGATCGGCGCTCGGAGAGGCCGCCGCAGCTGCGCCAAAAATGTCCGACAGTGCAGCTTCGGGGCTGCCCGTGCCTAGCTGCTCATAGTAGCCGCTGGCCTCGAGGAGGGCCTTGCAGTACTGTTCACCGTAGTACGCGCACTGCCAGGCGGGCACGGCGCCGGCGGCGGCCAGCAGGCTGGCCGTCAGCAGTAGAAAACGCATTGTGGCGCCGCTCCGAGAGCTCTGTGGCGCCGCTTCGAGAGCTCCGAGACACTGGCCGGGCCCGGGGAGGCCACGCTCGTTTTATAGCCTACTTTCCTCGTTGATTTTTGTGCAGCAGCCCGGATGGGTGTCGGGCACAGACCGGTTCGCGAGTGGGACATGGTGCTTCGGCGCCGGGCCGCTGCCACCGTCCATTGGTCCGCTCTGGCGTGGTCGTCTGTGTCGTATTGGCTATCGGCGGCCCAAACTATCGTAGATATTGTTTCAATAGTTGCAGTGGCCTTGGTTGCAGTATTCTCTCACAAAGATTTCACATAGGCAGTTCAACGCTGTCATGGGTTAAGTGTTCACTCAGTTTAGGGTGGAAGAGATTTGCATGCAGAAAGAGGAAAGGCAAGAGCGACTTGGACCAACGTCTGCCTCGGATTTTGGTGTATCTTTACATCTTTCCCCTTAGTAGGGTAAAACTTTTAATCGGAGACACTTAATCCTTAGATAACCCTGGCCCGTAGGTATATGCGTTTTTACAGCCACTACCGTAAAGGGGGTCAATCGGATCCCCTTCAGCCGTTTGCCCTTGATTGAGCTAGAGCTTCGGCGGAGAAAAAAAAAAAAGAAGAATGTGCTTCCCATGACTAGAGGAAGCCGTTGACACCCAACTTAGAGGCTCTAAGCCATTGGTTATCCTTCCAACAAAACCCATAATTCGGGAAAATCGGGACCTTCTAGAACTTCTTTGGGAGAGATTGATACGATGTTTACAGTGTGCTAATTTCGAATTTCAATTTAGTTTTGATCAAAATGATGTACAATGTACATCATATTCAATATTCATGCACTTAGAGTAGGTTAGGTCAGGTCAACAATCGGGCATCCCGTCAGCTATCCTTAGTAGATGCTTACCACTAATGAAGCTTCGCAATGTGTTGCATTGGCATCAAGACTGGTTGTCAAATGTTATGGATTCTAAATAAGACATCGGCTTCAAAAACGGTCCGAAGAAGTTCCTAAACTCAGAAAGTCAACGGAGGTCATCTAAGGTGAATGACCTCGACCTAACCAAGTGAGCTAGACACCCACCATAATCCGTGGAGCCAATACCATTGCACAATTCACATTGCACATGCTAGCACTTTTTAATCATAAAATGCCTGGAATCGCACAAATACTGTTCGCTGACATACGCCGTATCGCCATTCTGGCCTGACATGTTTCAGAGGTCAAAAATAGTTTTGATCAGGGCCATGCAATTTTTAGAGTGGATGTAAAATATAATAAAAATAAATATAATATAATAAGACTTTAAGGCATTGAAAATTTTGTTGCGATCTGCAGTTTCTTACGCGAGTTAAAAACGAAAACCCAACGGGAGTCCATCCGACCCCCTGTGAATGCGAGGGTTAACTCACATTGATAGTGCGCTTATTTTATTTCTTTTATTTTATTTTTGATTTTTTACTTTAGTTAGCTTTATTAGATTTAAGGCCCTCCATCGGGTGACCATTTGTGATAACTGGGCAAATAATCCCGCAGTGGTCGTAAAGCTTTCAGTACATTTCCCTACATCAATTTTACGCCTGTTATCTTATCGGTGGGTTTGTGGAACAAAAGCTTGTGAGTCTCGGCCGGTTTTGTGACGTTACCGCACGCCAGTATCGGCCGAAAAGTGGCAAAACATCTTGTTCTGTCAAAGGTGCATTTTAATACGAACCTAGATAAAACCTTTGCAAGACCTAGCATAATGATAAATGAGCTTTACAGAATGACCATTAAAAATGCCAGTGTCAGCAAGGCCGTTCCGTCGCTCATTACGCTGTAAAAAACACTTTAACTCCCGACGTTTCGCTGTTTACTGTTTCGGGAGTTAAAGTGTTTTTTTTTTACAGCGTAATGAGCGACGGAACGGCCTTGCTGACACTGGCATTTTTACACATCTGTCAAATAATTATACTAAAAATGACCATTAAATTTTTTCATTGAATTTGGTGGCCTTAAATTGAAATAGATTCGCTTTTCAATCATTTGGTTGAAGCGTTTTCGCTATCGTGCTCCAGATTTTACCAGATTTAACTTCATGTTATTTTTGACCTTCAGATAGCAATTAATGAAAACAGGCATTTAGGGTGAATAGGGTTTATTACAATCCATTAAAAAGCTGGAATGTCATCGATTTCGCCATAATTATGAGCCATTACAATTTATCATCAACTCGCTGCTCCTATAAAGACTGTCGTGTGAGAACGGGACTGTATTTGTCAGTAATATGCGCTCACACGACCAGACTGTGAGGTGACCAGCCCTTACATAATACGAAGGACAAACACCGACAAATACATTCCTACAACGAAATTACATGATCACAAGAGTACGTCGTATCTTAACAAAACCCCAATTTATATGTATAGACAAGGTGGCTGAAGGGGAGGTGGCGCCTGACCCAGCCAGAAATCTGACTCACCCGGCCAGTGGGGCAAGTGCCGCAGGCCATAAGCACGGCGACTGGCCTTGCCCAGGCAAACGCCAATGTCATGTTATGGCGAATTGCCGCCTGGACGAAAAACCCCTTTGACCTACCACTCGGCCACCGCCCTTAGAGCAGGCACTAAGGCCTGTGTATACCAACGAAACGGTAACAGGGACAGGTGCCGCCGGTCAAATTACGGCGACCAGCCTTGCCCGGACTACACCAATGTCCTGTATTGGTGAATACCGTCGGGACGAAAACTGCCGTGGGCCCTGAACTCGGCTAACGCCTCGGTGCAAACCGTCACCGCCGATAGACCGCCGGCGTACGCCGCCGGTCGCATAGACAGACACCCGCCTCGCAAAAAGGTACCAAAACTGGTAACATGCGATATAGCCATGGGCCCTATGAACGGCTGTACGCCACAGTCTATCCTCGTAGCCTACCAAGGTGACCCCACGAACGACAACCTCGATTTAACGCGCAACACATGCTAGGGCACTGGGCGGTGTGCAGCCCTGCCACGCACAGCCGCCAGGAATCGGCTAGCCTGACTCTTACCTTGCTGCGTTGTATGCCAAAGCCGTGTGTGCGCGCACAACCGATCGCTACCGTGACCGGTCACCGAAAGGGCGCGCCGCCGCGCCCCACCCGCGAGGTCTCGCGCGCGAGTGACGTCATGCGCGCGCAGGTCAGCGAGCCGAGCGATAAAACCGTTTTGGGGTAAACCTGCGGCCTCCCCCAAAACCGGCATTTAGGCTCCGGCCACTGGCTAACAAGTCCGATCAGGCTCATTTTTAGCTTACGCACTCCGTGATATATGCCTTGGGATACCCTGAGGGTACCGAGCTTCTACTTCAAATTTTCCAGATCAAGGCCAGGCCATTTTAGGTCACGGAAATTTTATATCATTTATCAGTCATGTGACACATGTTTTATGATCCATTTCAGCCATAGATTTCGAAAACAGTGTCGTCTGTGTCATTTGATGTCATTTTCAGCTGAATATAGCTGAGGTCAGGACTCAGGTCGCTTTCAGGTCAAAAAGGTCAAATTTTGACGTAGAATTTTTTAACAAAAAAGGCTATCAGATTCAGTTTGAACTAAAAAAACACGATGGTTGTGCTATTTACTTTGCTGTATGATGTCATGTCAAAAACGTACTGAAGAGTTTATTTGAAAAATAAAAATGGTGAATTGTTGACTAAAAATCGTATAACTCAACTTTTTTTGAAGATATTAGGCTAAAACTCCCTAGAGTAGATAGTCTGTATGTTTTCTATGACGTATATTCCGTTTTTTTGAAAAGTCAAAATTTTTTGACACAATTCCAAAACAAATTTTTTGAGGTTTTGTTTGTAAAATTTTCGAAGTTAACAAAACTTCGAATGCTTTCTGTTACACTGCTGGACATCACTGACAGAACGCTTGCAGACCGACGCGATATATACGGATTACTCGTCCGCTTTTACTAGTGTCAACCACAGGCTCCTTTTACTCAAGCTCCGTCACTCTTTTAACATCAGAGGTCTTGCATATAGCTGGATTGAGTCTTACCTGTGCCAGCGCTCCCAACGGGTCATTGTCGATGGGAAGCACTCTGAGTGGACGCCAGTCTTGTCTGGCGTTCCGGAAGGCAGCATTCTCGGCCCAATCCTGTTCGCCTGCTATGTCGCTGACCTTCCAAGCAATATCAAGACAGGCTGTTTGGCATACGCCGATGACGTCAAAATTTTTCATCGCATTCGAAATCACGAGGACACCCTTTCCCTTCAGGCCGATCTGAACCGTCTATGCGACTGGTCAAAAACTTGGCACTTGAAGCTCAATCCAGCTAAATGCAAGACGATATCATTCACTCTCCGCACGGCCCCGGTACAGGGTACTTATTACCTGGACGGTCATCAACTGGAGCGATGCGAGCAGATGCGCGATCTTGGTGTCGTCCTGGATGCAAAACTGACTTTTGCCGATCATGTTGATCCCGCGGTTGGCAAGGCGAACCGTATGCTCGGTCTGCTTATGCGCAGTGTCCAGATGTCCCCATGTGCTCGCCGCCCAGACTTCAATCATCATGCAATCTTGTCAGCGTACAGAGCCCACGTGCTGTCCGTGATGGAGTACGCTAGTGTCACCTGGTCCGGGGCCGCCGCAACTCATCTCAAACGCATGGAACGTGTTCAGCATAGGTTTCTGATGTGGTTAGGGCGTAAAACTTAGCCCCGCTGCCCTTCCATGGACTACACCACACTCCTGAACCAATTTAAAATCCAGTCCATCAAAGCTCGCCTGATTCAAACCGACATGAGGTTCTTGCATGGTCTGTCATGCATGACCGCCTGGACTGCCAGTATCTTGTCTCTGTGTTCTCGCTGGCTGTTCCCTCACGACGTACCCGTCACACTGGCATGTTCCATGTGCCGGGCGGGCGAGTGAAATCTGTGCGTAACGGCTTCCTGTCGCGGTTACCGGAAACATGCAACGCGCTTTTGAAAAAAGCGCCAGGGACTGATTTCTTTTACTCACCATCTTCTTT